TACTGTTGCACATTTGAAATAGGTGAATTTTTTAATGTGAATTACCTATACCTCAATAAAGCTGACTTAAAAAGTAAGACAGTGCAAACCACAAGTGACTTTTATTTTCTTCCTTGTGCTTTTCTATATTTTCCATGGTGTCCTTAATTGAAAGTAAAAATAGAAGAGGGCCGCAGATGGAAGAAGAGGGATTCTTGCAAGGTGGGAGACCTTCTCTCAACATTCCTTGGCCTTTGCTGGTCTCCCCTGAGACACAGCTGAGAGTAAGAGTGCTTCCCCCTACTTTGTGTGGCCTTGGGGAAGTCACTCCACCTCTCCAAGCTTTTGTTCTTTCCCCTGTGAACAGATCTGATGCCTGCCATGCCTGGTTCACCATGCTGTGACAAGTCTCAGGGAACAGACATGTTAGGACACTGTGAGGTCTGATGGCCCTGCATATGTGACAGGTTAGTGCTGTGACTAAACCTCCTCTGCTGTAATCTCCCAGCCCCCGCCCCCATCTTTAAAATTACCAAATATTTCAAACGTACAGAGAATAGAGAAAAAGTTTTGGACTTGAGAAGGAGAAGGATCATTGCGAAGAATTACAGACAAGACACCCAGCTTTGCCAAATCTTGACACCTTGCCATATATGCTTCAGATTTTTTTTTCTGAAAAATAGGACATTACAGATAAAATTAAATCCCCTGTGTTCCTCTTTCTGACCTCATTCCCATCCCTCCCTTCCCAGAGGTAACTACTATTCTAAATTTAGTGTCTTTGATTTCTTAGGCATGTTTTAACACTTTCACTATCTGACTGTATCCCTAAAACTACATATATACCATAGTTTTGAATTAAAAAAAAAACTTTTGATATCACACTATTCTACCACTTGATGTTCCCTTTTTCTTTTTTTTTTTCTGGACTGTATCTATGTTGAGGCTACAGCCTCGTTTTATTTTCCCTCCCAGTATATTATTCCATTGCACAGATAGATCACAATTTATCTATCTGCACTGCTGTTGATGGACAATTAATCAATTCCTCATTTTTCATAATTATGTGCTGAGTGAGTGAAGTCACTGAATTGTAGGCATGAGCATCTTCAACTTTATTAGATGTTGCTAAACCTCTTCTTCAGAGAAGTTGTACCAATTTACACCTCCATCAAGACTGTACAAGGGTTCCAAGGGTGCCACCTCTTCACCCCCTCCACCCTTCTCCCAACACTGATAGAATGCTTACTCCTTGCCAGTCCGGAGGATGTGAAATGGCGTCTCACAGCTCTTTTCATTTGCATCTCTCCCATGACCCGTGAGGTTGAACATCTCTTTACATTTTTGGCCACCTAGGTTTCCTCTTTTGTGAATTGCCTGTTGATGGTCTTAACCCATTTTTTAAAAAAATGATTGTTTGTCTTTCTCTGGTTTGTCCATGCTTTCAACCTACTTCTGCCAGATCGCAAAGCAAACTCGGATCATGGCCCTTCTCAGTTCTAAACTCCCCGAGGCTCTCTAGGATACACATAACTTACAACCTTGCTCAGTGGTCCTGATTTGCCGTGGGCTGAAAACCAAGCTCAGCCCAGGACACTCAGCTCCACCTTCTCCTCCAGCCTTACTGTCGGCACCCTGAACTCCGGTCCAGCGGACACAACTCACTCCGTCCCAGGCCTACTGCACACACCATGCCCTAGGCCTGGAATGCCTCCCTCCTATCTCCACATTTCCTCTGAATGCCACCTTTTCTATGACAGTTCTCAATTCAAAGCTGGATTTGCCTCTAAACGGTCAGGTGAAACTATACCTTTCTAGTGGCATTTATCATTTCTCCTTTTGTAGTATTTTAACCACTCCTCATCTTGCCCATCACTTTTTCATTGACAAAAACACCCGCCCTTGCATTATGCTATTTTGTCCTCATCTCTGCAATGGCCCTGTGAATTGGGGTAGTACCACTACCCTCTTTGAACAGGTAGGGAACGTGGCCTACAGGGGGAATAGTTCACCCAACATCTTACTCTGGCTCAGAGGCAGAGGTGGACTTGAAGCCAGGACTCCTCCAATTCCATGTCCAGCTCGCTGCACCACGCCCCTCATATTTATATATGCATGTTGTTGCTGCTTGAGCCAACACCTGACTCCCCCATGAGACTGTGGGCCCCATAGCTCCCAGTTCTAGTCCTACCCAGGGGGGCACTCAATGAATATATAATTTCTTGACAAAGTACGATAATCACTTACTGCATACCCACTGGCTGCCGGGGGCTTTGCATACATTCACCTAACCTTCCTCTTCCTATGAGGAGACTGGGGTTTAAGAGTTGAAGTGCTATGCTCAGGGTCCCACGGCCGGTAATCAGTGCAGTTGGCCTATGAGACCCAGAGGTAAGTGCTTCCAACTGTAATCTCTGCCCTGCGCATCCTAAAGGTAGACCCAGCCAGCCAGAGAGATCACACCCCAAGGCCCAGAGGCAGGGGGCCAAGGGTGGGTAACTTGACCGTCAACAGGAGGGACTGGGGGCTGGGGGAGTATGGTCCACCCGCTACACCCATGATGTCCACACTCCACAGCCTCACGGGTGTCTGTGCAGTGTGATGGTAGCAGGTGAGAAGAGGGCTGAGGGATAAGAAGAGGGGTTGGCAAGTATTCTCCAGCCCCCAACCCCCAAAGAGTAAGTCTGGATGGGGACATTGCTGCCCATTCTCCCCAGGGCAAGGACTGGATATGACTGGAGCCACGCCCCTTTCCTCAATCTGCTGTTCCTATGACTCTGTATGCTGTCTTTCACTGTGTGCCACTTATTTAAATGTTGTGTTTGTGTGTGTGGTATGTATTTGCAACTGTATCTTTGTGTTGTGTTTCGGTGCATTACGTTTGTGTGCAATTTGCTGTCGGTGTACTCTTTCTCTTGTGCGCCTGTGTTACTGTGTTGTGGCTCTATGCCTGTTTGTCTACTTTATGTGTATGTTTTGTTGTGTGTCCATGCTGTGTACACGGTGTGTCTCTCCTATGTATCTATGTCCATACTCTGTAATCGCCTCTTTATTGTGTGTCGTGTCGTGTGTATCATGTGTTGTGAATTTGTGTTTGTGCCGTGCGCATTGTGGATCTGTTTCTGTGTGTGCTCTCTACACCGCAAGTGCAGGATGTTTGTTCTGTTGTGCGAATCCCGCTTGGGTTGTTCTAGGTCTGTGTCTACGCAGGGAGTCCGTGTGTATCCGCACCTCCCCGCTGTGTGTCTGTGCCAGCTGACGTCTGTGCCCTGCGCGCAGAGTTGTGTTTCCTCAACAAGTGTGTGCCGGCTCGGAGGGCCGCGCGCGCCTCCTCGTGTGCCCGCGTTGTGCCTGCGCCTCCGCCGGGCGGTCGTGCCGGGGCGCAGGCTCCGCGTCCGTCTGCGCTCGCGCCGCTTGTCTGCGTCCGGCGCGCGGTGGCAGCGGAGGATGCGCGCCCGCGGGGGCGGGGGCGGGGGCGGAGGCGGAGGCCGGGGCGCGGCGCGGGGGCGGCCCGGGGGCGGGAGTGGGCGAGCCGGCGGGCGGGCGGTGCTGCGGGGCCCCGCGGCCGCGGGCTCCAATGGCGAGGCCGGCGCGGCCCCCGCTAATTACATAAGCGAGACGTCAATAATTCGCGGGAAAACGCGAAAAAGATGGCGCCCCGCGCCCGGGGGGCCCCTTCCTGAGCGCCCCGGCCCCTCCCTCCTCCTCCGCCCCCCCTCCTCCCCGCGGCGCCCCCGCCCCGCCCCGCCCCCGCCGAGACCCCGACCCCGGCCCCACGGGCGGACACTCGGCCGGGCAGCCGCGGGCCGAGCGCAGCCACCTCCGCCGCCGATGCGCCTGGTGGCCAGACTCCAAGTGGGACCGGCGGACACGCAGCCTCGCGGTAAGTTCAGCGCTGCGGGCTGACGGCCCGGGCCGGGGGACTCCCCGCCACACTCGCCTTTCCCTGCAATCATCCCTCTTTTGGAAATTTCCTGAACTTTGGCGGGTCAGACGCCTCCGGGGGCGTTGGAGTCCTGGGAAGCCGCACGCCTTGGGGGTGGAGAGGGGTGAACGGTGTCCGCGGGGTGGCGGGAGCCCCGCCCGGGTCCCCGAGCCTTTGGGGGGCGTGTGTGACAGGTCGCTAGTCCTGTGCCTAAAATCTTTATTTTTCCTGTTGTGTGTGTCGGGGGGTGGGTGGCTTGGAGACCGACGGGGGCGTTTGGGATTTTGCTCACGTCCTAAGTCAGGCTGCGGCAGGATTGGGATGGGGGAGGCTTGGCGTCGGAGCGACTAAAGAGAGGAGCGCTTGAACCCGAAGGGGGTACTTCTGCAAGCTTTTTCCCCTCCCAAACACCCTTTTTAAAAAGCCAACGGCCGCCCTGGGAGAGGCCCCTGCGCATGAATCATCCTCGCTTCCTGCCCCCGCCCGGCCCCGCGATCCGGGTGCCGCGGATTTGAACTGGACGCCGACGGGAACCCGCAAACAGGCATTTCTTTGCAGATGGGTTTGAATCAGCCAATCACAGCCCGCGGGGGCCCGCTCCGGGAGGATGGAGGCGCGGTTGGGGGGGCCGCCACCCGAGGGCCCCCGCCCCGCCAGGGGGGGTGCGGCGACCGGGCCTGCTCCCAACGGCGCGGCGGGGGAGGAAGTGTCAGTTTGTGAACCTGCCGCGGGCCCGGGCCCCAGGCCCGGCGGGCAGGGACCTTGCAGCGCCCGGGAGCCAGGTGGCAGGGAGAAGGCAGAGATTTGGACTGCACACCCTGCCCGGTGCCTGCGCGCTCTGCCCTGGAGAAAAGAGAGGAATGGGGGGGGGGGGGCGGGGGCGGGAGAGGGGGAGGCAAGAGGGGACGTGGCCGCGCCACCATCTGGAGAGTGAAGACCCCAGCAAGGCCCTGCCTGCCCCAGGGCCCTTGACATGCACACACATGTATTCCATTTCATATGCTCACTGACATAAGGCTGTAGACATCAAACACAGTCTCACAGGGGCACACACACACTTACAGGGAAAAACACAGGACTCTCTCCCTGTCTACAGGTAATCATAACACCAGGTGCCCAGCGCCTTGGCAGAGAAGGAGGGCACCAGAGTAGCGGGTGCAGGGAACAGAGGGATGCTGTGTTTTTGGCTTAGTGGAGAGTCTGTGGAGGGGCCTGGAGCCAGGTGAGCCCAGATTGAGGAGGAGGGGGCCGTGGGGGGCGCTTTGAATGCCATTGAAGGTACTGGGGAGCCACAGAAGGTTTCTGGGAGAATAAGAAGATGGGAATTGAGGGCCCTGGGGAAGAGTCTGGTGGGGAGGCAGGAAACGGAGTGGCCTGTTCAGCACTGGGCGCTGGTGGTTCCATTCCGAATCCCAGGTGCCAGCATAGGTGAGTGAGCACGAGGCTCAGGAAACAGCTCTTGAATGAATGAATGGCCCAGGCAAGGTGAGGCCTGAACTCAGACCAGGACAGGGGGATGGAAAAGAGGAGTAGGGTTGCCAGAAGTCGCTGTGCTTGGCTGCTGTGGCAGCTCATCGGTTGGAGAAGTCTAAGATGCTTGGGGGTCTGGGGACCATAGTAGTACCATTAGCAGGAAGCAGCGAAAGCAATGGGAGCAGCACATTTGTAGGACGGTGAAAGACAGATGTGGAGAGGTTGGCATGGCAATGACTTCACTGCTTGGAGCCGGTTTGCATCTGAGTAAAAGCATAAGTGAGTTTAAATGTCCCAGAATTGGTGTCCATTAAATCATCCCATAATTGAGAACAGAAAAGGAGATTGCAGAAGACACAGATGGCCAAGTCTATACCAGTTCACAAGCCACCCAGGAGTTTCCCTCTCCAGGTGAGTTTTCTCTGGCCAGCTCTCAGGGTAGGGGTCAGGGGTCTGAGAACTTCCCGCTGCTCCCCTGGAGAAGGTCCTCCACTCAGAGAACACAGAGTATGTTTGCTTTAGGGATAAAACCTCTGGCTGTGAAGCCAGGGAGTGAGGTTCAGGCCCCACTGAGCAGGGAGATTTTGCTCCGTGGTTGGTTGAGAGAGCCTTTCTATTTAGAAGGCTGCATGGTATGGGTGGGGAGAGAGCAGGACTTAGAATCAGCTCGCCCGATTATGGACCATGACTCTGCCTCTGACCCCATAGCCACTTCCCCTTGCCAAACCTCAGTTTCCTGACTGGTAAAATGGGAATAATAATGCCTCCCTCACAGCGTTGTCAGCAGGATCCAGTGAGATGATAAAAGCATCTGGCACATAGCACGGGTTACATAAATGGTTGTTTCTTTCCTTCCTTCCCCTTCTCCTGAAGTAAGGAGTAAAAACCCCCTTTCTCTTTCTCTTCCAGTGTCAGTGGAAGCTGATGGAGAATCGAGGTCTGGACCCAGGGACTCGGGACTCCTATGGTGCCACCAGCCACCTCCCCAACAAGGGGGCCCTGGCAAAAGCCAAGAACAACTTCAAAGACCTGATGTCCAAGCTGACAGAGGGCCAGTATGTGCTGTGCCGGTGGACAGATGGACTGTATTATCTCGGGAAGATCAAGAGGGTAAACCTTTCCTTCCTGGCCCCAGTTCCCAGGCTCAGCATCTCTCTGCTCATCCTCTGGTCTTGGCCTCAGACCAGTGATGGAGGCTGGGAGACTGCTGGGAAATTCCCGCCTTGTTCTTATGCTCCAAACTGAAAGTGGAAGGAGGCGGAGCCTGCAAAAGCAGGTGCCATCCTTAGGGCCAACATCTTTAGAAAAGTGCTCTATGAGCCTACAAAACAAAATAAAATCAGGTTGGAGAGGATCACAAACGATCACCTGGCCTGTTCTGTCCTTGGCGTTCCCGCCAAGTTGCCGTCCCCCAGTCCCTGACTGCACAACTCCAGTGAGTGGGTGTGCAGTACCTCCGGAACTGCCATCCTCCTTCCCCTTCTAGCCTGGCTCTCCTTTCTGCAGCACAAGGAGAGGTCTAAAGCCTCTGACCTGTGGGAACAGAAATGGGAGAGGAAGACCGTGTTCAAGTGGCTTTTCCCCAGCTACTGTCTCACACTGCCCCTCCCTCTCCCTGCCCCAGGTCAGCAGTTCTAAGCAGAGCTGCCTTGTAACTTTTGAAGATAACTCCAAATACTGGGTCTTGTGGAAGGACATACAGCATGGTGAGTATTCCTGTGATTTCAGGCACCACCACCCCCACCCCCCCACAGCCCAATCCCCGATCCTCTCTCCGCCTCTCCCTCCATTTTTTCCTTCTCTCCTTCTGTCTCTAACTTCTGGCACCTGGCCTTGTCCTTGGAGCCCCAGGCGCACCTGAGATGCTGATCGGATTACCAGCTGTACATTTATGTGGAAACACACTTGTGACATCTGTCATCCCCTTGAGTACTCCTACCTCATGAGGGAGGCAGGCAGATGGAGAAAGTGGCCCAGGAAGGTGCTGGGAGAGCAGGGTTGGGTCCCAGGTCTGTGTTTGCTTCCTTGCTGCCCAAAGCTCTGGGTCACTCTGGGGCTAGGGAACAGGGAAGGGCCCAGGCAATCAGAATTGTCACCTTTCGATATAAGCACAGTGTCCCCTATCAGCATGGTAAGAAAACGAGGGAGGCAGCTTTCTTCATGGGGGAAAGACCAAACAAGCAGATATGAACCAGGCAAGGTGATGATGGACTTACCGGGATGGAGCTAGACCAGTTTTCAGAGTTGAAAGGTAGCTGGGTTGGGTACCATCCCTGCCCTCAGAGAGCTGATACTGTCTTACAGAGATGACAGATTGGGGGCATTCTTGCCACCTTTCTTCCTTGCCATGTACATGACAGACATCACTAATCAATCACAACACTTGTATATTTTCAACATGGAGCTCCAAGCAGCCACTACCAGTCAGAGTTACCGTGAGAGAAGAGACTTTTTTTTTTTGCCATTTATGCTCTAACAGGAGAACCGACATGGCGGTATGTGGGGAAGAGGCAGGTTTTAGGGTCCAGTATTCCTCGGACCAAGATATTCTAGCTCTGCCACTTACTGCTGCGTATCTTTGGGTGAGTGACATAACCTCTGTGAGCCTGTTTCTTCATCTGAGGAAAAGGAGACTGAACGTACTGGCCTCACAGTGTGGTCAAATGCTTAGCCCAGTGCTGCTGAGTTACAGGGAGGCTGTTTCTGAAGAATTTGTTACCGTAAGAGATGATTTCAAGAGCCTGCCAAGCAGAGGCCACAGAACCCAGCCAGTTAGTCGAGCTTCCAAACTGCCTTTTTCTCCAAGACGTTGTGGCTAATACAGGCTGATGCTTCTCCAAGCCCCTCTCACCCTAAAGGTATTATTTAAAAATCCAAAGCAACGAGGGTCTCCTCTCCTGGGCTACCTTCTTTTTCAAAGCAGAAGGAGCCGGCTGGTGAGGAAAGACAGTCCAAACCATGGATCGAAGTAGCACACCATGAATAGAAGGCCCACTGTGTGCCAGGCACCAAGGAGGTGCTGCAGTGCTCACCGTGTGGCTCCCCAGCCAGATCACTGCTCATCACAGGTAGGACAGCAGCCCTCTGGGGTCGCCCAAGATTAGAGCATAAGGCTGAGCACGCTATAGTTACTGATCTGTCACTTCATTAAGCCAGTGAAGACTTACTGTGACCCACAGTGGGTCCCGCCTTCCTGGGAGCATATTCAGGGATAAGAGGCAAGACATCATTTACTCAACAAACATGTCTTGAACACGTGTTATGTGCCACACCCCATAAGAGGTCCTGGGGACACAGAGATGAACAGATACCTTTTCTGCCCTTACAGAACTTTCCGTCTGCTAGGGAAAATGAGACAGAAACACACATCAAAATATATCTTACTTTATTCACTCAAACCCTTCAGTCATAAATACATATTTCTTCTTCAGCAATGCCAAATTGCAAAGGAAAAGAAAAGAGAGATGGAGAGGGAAACTGTAGATTAAAAGCAATTGATCAAACTTAAAATTGTTATGACTTTTTGGAGACAATTGAATATGTGAACACTAACTGAATTTGTTGATATTAAGAATTTAATTTTTAGGTGCAATAAAGGTGCTGTAGTTATTTTTTTTTTAGAGTCCTGAATTTTCAGCGATATGTACTGAAATATTTAATACAGGAGGGGGGAAGTGAGTGGGAATATAGTCAAAACAAGATTGGCTGTGAGTTCATGATTGTTGATAAGAACGTGGCGTTTCATTATAACATTCTGTTATTCCATAATAAAATTTTTTAAAAAATTATTTAACATAAAAAACTTTAACAAATCAAGTTAAATTAAGCAGGAGAGGCAGCATGACACGGTGAAAAGGACAAATAATGTGATGTCAGATAGCTGCGGGTTTGAATCCCCCCCCTCCTACTTACCAGCTGAGCATGGGACTTAACCTCTCCGAGCCTCAATTTCCCCATCTTTAGAATGGGCTAATGGTAATAGGCAGCTCAGACTGGTTGGGGAGATTCAGTGAGTTGGCCTATGGGGCCCGGCACTCAGTAGAGGCTCAGGACCTGGAATGTAATTTTAAAACTGCTGTTTCCTGTGAGCCCGACCTGACCCTAGAGGGCCCCTTTCTTTCAGCTGGTGTTCCAGGAGAGGAACCCAAGTGTAACATCTGCCTGGGGAAGACATCAGGACCACTGAATGAGATCCTCATCTGTGGGAAGTGTGGCCTGGGTGAGTGTGATGAGCAGGGCATGGAGAAGGCCCAGACCTGTGGGTCCCCATTCCCCGCTGGCTCGGGACCTGCGTCGCCTCAGACCATTGGGGCCTTAGCTGGCTTCCTGTTTCTTTTGGAGCTCCAGAGTGACAAGGGGCCAGTCTCTGGGAATGAGGGCCCAGGGAGGTGATCCTTGGGGAAAGCTGGGGCTTCTGGAAAGTGAGAGAAGTTATGCACTTTGGAGCCCCCGTGGGTGGAGAGGATGGGTAGGAGAGATGGGGCACAGAGGCTGAAGCCAGACCTTTGGTGCTTCCCACCCTGGGCCAATGCTGGCTCTTAGTGGCCTGCTTGGACACCAGCCTGGCTGCCTGGTGAGCATGACCAGCCAGTCCCCTGGCAGCTGGCAGGCACACAGCTCCTAGGACTTGCCGCAGCCCTCCCCAGCCTGCCGCCTCTGGGCTGACTGGCCTCGGGCGACTGCTTCCTCGTGGGCACTCACCCCCTCTCCTTTGCCATAGGTTACCACCAGCAGTGCCACATCCCCATAGCGGGCAGTGCCGACCGGCCCCTGCTCACACCTTGGTTCTGCCGACGCTGCATCTTTGCGCTGGCTGTGCGGGTGAGCCCTCCATCCTTCCCACCCTGCTTCTCCCCATCCTCCAGTCTGGAAGCCCAGAGGCCCCCTGGGCTTGGGCCTCACTCCTGGTCACAGAGCCTGGCTTTGGAGGCAGACAGCGACTGCCACTTAACCAGCTGTATGTCCTTGTGCAGTTCCTTAGCCTCCCTGAGCCTGTTTCCTTGGCTGTTAAACGCATACAGGTTTGGGGACTTCCCTGGTGGTCCAGTGGTTAAGACTCCACGCTTCCAATGCAGGGGGTGCGGGTTCGATCCCTGGTGGGGGAATTAAGATGCCACATGCTGTGCGGCCAAAAAAAAAGTACTCTTTAAATGGATACAGGTTTGGTGTCAAGAGTAGGAGGCCCCCAACAAATAGTGAGAAATCACTATTAAGAGAGAAAATCCATATAAGCGCCCACTCTCAATATGTGTTGGTTATTATTGTTACTTTTACTGTTGTGCTTATTACTATTATTGAAAATGCAGCTCCTTGGGGATAGAGAGAGGATGGATCTGGGATTGATGAGAAGAGGCTTTGTGCGTTTCTGACTACATTGGAATATCTTGTTCCACCTGGTCGGCATTAGCCTTGATAGGGAGCCACGTGTGGCCCAACCGGGACCCCCGCGGGTAACTCGGGCCCTCATCTTCCCGCAGAAAGGCGGCGCGCTGAAGAAGGGCGCCATCGCCAGGACCCTGCAGGCTGTGAAGATGGTGCTGTCCTACCAGCCCGAGGAACTGGAGTGGGACTCGCCCCACCGCACCAACCAGCAGCAATGCTACTGCTACTGCGGCGGGCCGGGAGAGTAAGGCCGCGGGGGCGGGGCGGGGCCTCCCCGAGGGGCGGGGCGCGGGGCGGGGCCCCAGGGAAGCGGGGTAGGCGCGGCTGGCTGGGGGAGCCAGACCCCCATGGAAGAGCCCGTATCCTCCCTCAGGCCTCGGGGATGACACCTGAGCGCGCGCGGGGCTCGAGAGCACAGGGCTAGCGCTCTCCGCAGCGGGGTGCAGGGGAGTGGCGGTTGTTTTCTTGGGGCACCGTGGAAAAGAAGGCAGTATTGAAGAGTGGTTACCAGACTGGCCCCCAGTGTCCAACCAGCCCCTTAGAGCTATGCTACCCCTGAGCCTCAGTTCTCATCATAGTTTTCCCGTGACGTGGTGGTTGTGAGCGGTGGGTGAATTAGGTCATTCACGTAAAGGCTCACACAGTTCCTGGCTCTTGGTAAGCACTTGAACAATTGTGAGCTGTTACTGTTGGTGCATGGACGTTGAGATAAAGCTTTCCGTTGCCAGAGTCAATGAGACAGGCTGCTGATGAGATATGAAGGTCTTTTTCCCTGGAGGTGTGCAAGCAGGGGTTGGGGGGAATACCTTGGGGACGCTGTGGAGGGGGTTCTTACCCTGACTATATGTAGGATGGGAGTCTTTGATTCTTCCTTGTGGCCTGGGCCTCCATGCAGCCATGGCTGATTGAGCCTGTTCCCTTGGGCTGACTGCACCAACACTGTGGGAGGAACCACAGAAGTGAGAGATGGAACCTCTGCCCTCAGGAAACAGCCTACAGTTCACCCTGAAGTCCTGAGTCTCATCCCCAAGTTCTGCTGACAAGCACTAGGGGTCTGGAGGCTGTGCTTACGACCTAGCCGGGTGATTTGGGCAAATCACTTGAAGTACTTCATCTCTCAAGTGGGATTAATAACCTCGGCCCCATCATCCTTCCGTGGGTGTTGAGGCCTTTGGGATAACAGATGGAGAAATGCTTATAGAGACCTTTGCAGCATTGAGGTGGTGGTTCTCAGTGCTTACTGGGCAGAGTTGCTCGGGTGATTGTCAAAAGTGTGTCTCCCAGGGGCTATCCCAAAGATTGAGTAGGCCTGGAACGGGTCAAGGAATCTTCTGCATTTTAACCTGGACCCCAGGTGATTCTGATGCAGGTGGTCCAAGGACCACACCTGACAAGGTGTGAACAAAGCATTGACTGTTAATTAAGAAAGCACCTTTTTGGTTTTCATTCTTATTCAATGAGTAGTTGTTGAATGGTTGTGATAGGGTAAATACATTACCAGGTGAGGGGCTTATAGGAGCCTTTATTCTCCCATGAAGTCTCCAGGGCAAACCTTTCCCCATCAGTAGTGTTTGGGAAGCAGTGTGTGAGGCACAGACCGGAGATGGGGGCTCCAGTGTGGCACAAAGAGCGTGGGCTTTGAAGTCAGGAAGGCTAGGATTTGAGCCACCATCCACCACTTGCCTCCTGAGTGACCTTGAACAATCTGTTTAACCTCTGACTCACCTGTAAAGTGTGGTCAGCGGCCCGTGTTTGACCAGATGGTGAGATCGAATGATATAGCCTAAGCCCTGCTGCCAGGGCTTCCCCTGGTACAGCCCAGTGCTCAGTAACTGTGAGTTCTCTTCCCTTTCCCCCGCTGGAGGGCGAGTTTGTGTTGGGAAAGGTTGCTGAGGCTGATCCCTGGCTGGGAGTGTGGGCCTGGCTGACCCTGGCTCCTCTGGCTCTCCAGATGGTACCTGCGGATGCTGCAGTGTTACCGGTGCAGGCAGTGGTTCCACGAGGCCTGCACCCAGTGTCTCAATGAGCCCATGATGTTCGGAGACCGGTAGGTGCTAATCTGGTCTGGCTCAGCCTTGGGGGCGAGGTGGGGGGATGGGGGCAGCAGCTGCAGCAACTCCTTCAGGTTGCCTGCCAGGCCCTAGACCCCCAGTGGGGGGCTGGGACAGTGTGTCCCTGTCTACAGAGGCAGCTCAGGGTAAGGAGGCCTTCCCAGTAGCGGGACACTCTGGGCCACATCCCCAGTCGCAGCCCCACCTTCCCTAAGCCCCAGACGCTTCAAGTGTCTGGGGAAGGGGGAGAGACACAGGCCCTGCCCCAGCCCTGACCGGGGTTGTTGGAGGAGGCAATGGGGGAAATGGATGACTTGATCTGGTCTCTAACCAAGGGGGCTAAGCTAGTGGAAGGCTTATGTGTGTCAAACAGGATACTGTGTGTGTCTTGGTTGGTGTCTCACGTGGTTTGTGATTGCGTGTGTGTGTTTGTGTGTGTGTGTGTGTGTGTGTGTGTGTCAGGCAGAGGGGAAGAGGGTGGTCCCTGCAGCCCAGCCTAGTTCAGCTCACTCTGAACTCAGCCACCCTCGAGGGCAGTGATATTTGGGAAAGGGTTTGAGGTACAGGTTAGAAGGGGTAGGGGAGTAGTTCTTGGTCCCTGTTCTGCCCCATCTTTATCCCCTCCCCAGAGGGAGTGAAGACAATGCTGACTCTGGGAAAGCGGGGCGGGGGTGGGGTGGGGTGGGTGGTGAGGGCACTGGACCAGGGTCGGGTGTCAGAGCCCCTCCTACCACAGGCCCCCTTTTCACCCCCCCACAGGTTCTACCTGTTTTTCTGCTCCGTGTGCAACCAGGGCCCAGAGTACATCGAGAGGTTGCCCCTGCGATGGTGAGAGGGTGGGGCTTGGCCCAGGCCCACTCCTGTCCCCTCCCAGTTTCTCCCTTCCCTCCTCCCTCCGGGAACAATTCCATTTCCAGCCACCAGGTCCCAGCCTTGCCCCTGCCCTTCAGCCTGGACCCAGGATGCTCCAGCCCTGGCTGCACAGGCTGCCAGCTCACTCTGGGCCTGCCTCCTTGCACCCTTGCCCAGGGTCGATGTGGTTCACCTGGCCCTCTACAACCTGGGGGTGCAGAGCAAGAAGAAGTACTTTGACTTTGAGGAGATTCTGGCCTTTGTCAACCACCACTGGGAGCTCCTGCAGCTTGGCAAGGTATGCAAGACCGTGGGACGTCAGAATGGCGAGAATCCGTTCCACAGTGGGGTTCCCTAAGTCCAGAGAGGTGAGATGTTTGCCCAGGGCCACACGGCGCCGCACTAGGATCTGGGTCTCTGAGCACAGTTCTTCAGGAACGCTGGCTGTCCGTGAGGGCTGCTGAGTGGGGACAAAGAACCAGAGCCTTTGAGCCGTTGCATCTCTGAGTCCAGGCGTCTGAGCCTGTTCCCTGCAAGGAGCTTCCTAACCCAGGCTTTGGTAGTGGGTGGGTTAGGGCTCACCAGCTCAGCTGTAGGGAGCTGGGGGTCGAGTCTGGCTGGAGGAGATCTCCCTACAGAGCTGTGTGACCCACTCCAGATTACCTGGCTAGGATGGAAAGTGAAGTGGGCCTGCCCTCTGCCGGTCGTACTCTGAATAGCAGAAGAGATCACCAGGGGTCTGGGAACTTGGATTCACGGAGTGAAGTCACAAACCAGAGACTTTCAGGATGTCAGAGGTGGAGAGCTGAGCCAGGGCTTCCCCAACCACTTCCACGGCAGGGCCATGCACCCTTTAATGACACCCTCTGAATCCTCTCCACCACATCCAGAGTGAGTCATCTCTGCTGACTGCCCCAAATCCTTTAGTGAAATAGGGCTTTTTTTTTTAAAGTAACTTTTATGCTCGGCAGAAGTTCTTCATATAGTAACATCTTCATTTACAGTGTTTGATAATTTACAAAAGGCATACATATTATAAAGCCCTAAAAGATAGGTAGAGCTGGGATTTTTAAATAATTTTTTCCTGATTTATTAAAAAAAAAATCATACATGCTCCTGGTAGAAAATTTTCAAAGTACCAAAAAGTATAAGAAAGTACACTTAAAAGAAAACCATCCATACTCCTGCATCTCACCACTCAGAAACATCCACTGCTAACACACATAGGTGCACAGAGTTCAATCCTCTCATTTACGTCTATTTTTCTTTTTATAGGGCTTAGATATACGGTATTTACAATTTTTTATTGAAGTATAGTTGATTTACAATATTATGTTAGTTTGAGGCATACAGCAGTGATTCAGTCATATGTGTGTGTGTGTGTGTGTGTGTGTATACATACACACACACATACTTTATCCAGATTATTTTCCATTATAGGTTATTACAAGGTATTGAATATAGTGCCCTGTGCTATACAGTAAATCCTTGTTGTTTATCTATTTTATGTATAGTAGTGTGTATCTGTTAATCCCATACTCCTCTAATTTATCCCTTCCCCCTCCTTTTCCTCTTTGGTAACCATAAGTTTGTGGGAATGTAAATTGGTGCAGCCACTATAGAAAACAGAATGTAAGTTCCTTAGAAAACTAAAAATAGAGCTACCATATGATCCAGTAAGCCCACTCCTGGGCATATATTCAGGAAAGATGAAAACTCTAATTCGAAAAGACACCTGCACCCCCAATGGTCATAGCACTATTTACAATAGCCAAGACATGGAAACAACCCAATTTCCCATCAATAGATGGTTGGTTTAAGAAGATGTGGTGTATATATACAATGGAGTATTACTCAGCCATAAAAAGAATGAAATATTACCATTTGCAGCAACATGAATGGACCTAGAGAATATTATACTAAGTGAAATAGGTCAGACAAATATTATGTCACTTGTATGTAGAATCTAAAAAATAATACAAATGAATCTGTATACAAAACAGACAGTATATACAATTTTAAGTCTTTTTTTTCAGTTTACATTATATCATAAATACTTTTCCATGTTATGAGTTTTTAATCAACATTTTTCATGGCTGCATGGTTTCCACCATAGTTTACTTGCTTGTTTCTTTCCTGTTGGGCATGTAGTTTCTTTCCCACCATTAGGAAAATGATGCGGTGAACTTTTTTGTACATAAAGCATTATTTGTGTGTCATGTCTGTATGACGGGTTCCACGGAGCAGCATTACTGGGCCAAGGGCATGGACATTTTTAAAGCTCTTGATACATTTAGGACAGGAGTTACGCTCCTCATTTACAGATGGGGACGTGAGCTCAGAGGTGAAAAGACTCGTCTGAGATCATGGAACAAGTCAGTGGTCCTCGCCTGGAGGACTCGGGGCATCAGGAGATTGAGGGGAGGGTGGGGACAGGGGCTGAGGTCTTCTCAGATGCCATGCGCCAGGTCTGACTGTCCTCTGCCCTGCTCCCCCGTAGCTCACCAGCACCCCCGTGACGGACCGAGGACCGCATCTCCTCAATGCTCTGAACAGTTACAAAAGCCGGTGCGTGCAGGGAAGGGAGGGAGTGCTGTGGGCCCCCCGACAGGTTGGATTTCAGTTAAAGCGTCTTCCTACCTCATAACCTTTGCACAAGCTATGCTCCCACCTGGGTCTCCCTCCATTTCTCTTTGACTATATGAATATTACCCGTCCTTCAAGATCAGGGAGCACCCACTTCATTTGGGATGCCTCCCCTGACCACTCCAGCAGCCAGACACATTTTGATACTGGACTCAGCTCCATAGGGGGCTGAAACCCCTGCTCTCTGAGGGCCCCCTGCTGTCTGAGGTCTCCCCTGCACTAGCCATCTATGGTTCTGGGCCAGGCACTGAAGCATGGATTCATCACCTGTCCCCAGCCCATGTCTGCCCATCCACACTGCTGAGTCCTTCTCAGAACACACGGCTGGCATGCCCCTCGCTACTACCACGGAGAATGCCCAAGCTCCTTAGCATGGCATTCAAGGCCTCTTATGATCAGACCCTGCCCATACCTTCTGCCACGGACTCTTTGCTTTATTTATTCTGGGCGTCAGCCATTCTGAACCCTTTGCTTTCCTACTCAGTGCTTTTGCTCACACTCTTTCTTCACCTAGGATGCTCTTTGATGCCTTTCATTCATTTGTTCCATCAATGACTATTTATTGAACTGCTCTGTGTCAGCCCTGTGTAGGTACTGAGGACACTGTGAATAAGACACGGTCCCTGCTTCTGTGAAACCTCCCCAGACATCTCTAGACAGAACTATCCACTCTCTCTTTCATCTTGTCACGGTTTGGGGCCCAGACACAGCCCTCTACTTGAGCACGTGGGGCCTCCTGACCTCTCTGTGGACGGTCTCCTGAGGGTAGGACTGTGGCTAAGTCACCTCTGCAGCCTCATGGCAGCTCAGCCAGTGATGAAAGGGTGAGGGAAGTGCCTGGCGGTGCTTTCAGTCTCCTTGGGGAGAGCAGAGAACAGAGTGGTGTGGAATGCAGTGTTTTGACCACAGGCTTCCACGGGGAGCTGGAGGAGGGCTTCCTGTAGGCAGAGGGCTTCCTGTAGGCAGAGGCCTTGGGGCTGGTTGAGGCAGAGAAGAAAAGGGAGGAGCAGCAAGAGCCACACACAAGACAAGGAAGCACGGGGACGAGCCGCCGGCTGCGTTCTCGGCCGCCACCTGGAGCCCCTGATCCCACAGGCTTCGAGGAATCAGTGTCTCCACGGGCCACTCTGGGTCCGGGGAGGCAGAGAGGGAGGTATTAACACTTGACTCTCCTCCCCAGGAGGATGGACGGACAGGCTCCAGAGCTTTCTCCTCTCCCTGCCCACCCCCAGGTTCCTCTGTGGCAAGGAGATCAAGAAGAAGAAGTGCATCTTCCGCCTGCGCATCCGCGTCCCGCCCAACCCCCCCGGGAAGCTGCTGCCCGACAAGGGCCTGGTGCCCACTGAGAACGGCGCCTCTGAGCTGCGTAAGAGAGGAAAGAGCAAGCCTGGGTCAGTGCCTGGGGCCCTTGGGCCGGGGCCGCAGCCGACCTCGGGTCCTCTGCTCCCGGCTCCAGCTGCAGCCCCCTCCGATGGGCTGTGTGGTGGCATCCAAGTGATCAAGGCAGGCCTCCAGCCAGTTAGTCCCAGCTGGAGGCACCCTGAACCGGCCAGTCAGTGGCTGAGCCGGGACCTGATACCACGTTCCCGCTCCTTCAGCCACAGCCCCTTGTGGCCTTGCTTGGAGGGAAAGCCAGATCACGGGACCCAGTCTTGCTGGCTTAGGGCTGAGGCAGAGGTCAAGGGGCAGTCAGTGTGTAAGGGGTCCCTAGCGCTCCCGGCTGAGCCCAGCCCCCTCTTCCTGGCATGGGGGGTGAGGGGCAGAGCACCTGGATGCCCGAGGCAGGAGAAGTACCTCCTCTCCTGCCTGCCCACTATACCCCGCCACCCTCGCACACCTGCTGCCCCCGAGGACACACCCCCCCCCCCCCCCCCCCGCCTCCCCAGGTCTCCTTGTAAAGGAGAGCCTGTGCCCCCTCCCATGCTGTGACCCCACCCCTGCCCACCCACTCCTCCCTCGGGGCCACCCTCTGGGCCTTCAGGCTCTGACTGGGCCACCCTTTCCCTTTTCTGTCTCCACAGTTTGTTGCCTCATGATTTCCAGCAGCAGAAAAGGCGAGTTTATAGAAGAAAAAGATCAAAGTTTTTGCTGGAAGATGCTATCCCCAGTGTTAGTTTCTCGTTTTCTCACTCTCCACTTTCACACTCAGGGTCAGCACATACTAGGGATTCCTGTGCAGAAAACTAAGTCCCCCAGGCCCAGGGGACTCTCCCACGTCCCCGAAAGGATCCTTTTACAGCTGGTTAAACAAGGAAGGGCCAGGCACTGCGAGACTCCTCCTTCATCTCCCCAAGTTCTCCCAAGAACCCAGAGCGGGGCTGGGCAAAGGCAGGTAATATCCTTGCCTCCACTGTCCAGGTGGGGAAACTGAGGGCCCAGGAGGGCAGTGACCCTCCTGAGGTCACACCTCAGGCAGTGGCAGAGCCCAGCCCAGAACCAGGGCTCCAGAGCATTCTTGCCTTCTTCAGTAGCCCTGCATCCTCACTGAAGCCCTCGCTGTGGGCAGTAACATTAGCCATGTCTCCAATGGACCATTTATAAGGCACCTTCACAACTGTCATTCCATTCTGCCACGCTCCCTGACACCTCTTAAGAGTGAAGCTCAGAAGGGGTTATTACCCACCTTTTGCAGTTGAGGTAACTCAAGCCCAGAGATGGAACAGTCAGACAACCGGCCAGAGACAGAGCCAGGACTAGAACTGACATGACCTGGCTCCCTGGTCAGGACTGGAAAAAAGAGGAAGGGACAAGTCTGACCCTCAGAAGGCCAGCTGGCCCCGTGCAGCCTGTGCGGCCCTCAGCGGGGAGGAGGGTGCTGTGAAAGGTGGAAGTGATGCTTGCCGGCTGACCGCCCCTCCTTCCTGTGTCCACAGAGTGACTTTACCTCGGCCTGGAGCACCAACCACCACCTAGCCAGCATATTTGACTTCACGCTGGATGAGATACAGAGTTTAAAAAGGTAACAGTGAGGGACCCGGCAGAGAGGTCTGCTCTGGAGACTGGGATGGAACCAAGCAGGGAGACCACCATTCCTCTAGCTATGGAAGATGTGAAGCAGAGAGCCTTTGGAGGGAAGGGAAGCTCCCTTGGGGTCACTGAGTTAAAGGGTCCGCATTGCAGAAGGCTGCCTGAAAGGTCTGTCTGCATTAGGGCAGCCTAACACCCATGCTGTAAGCCTGCAGGGCTCCCAGGGACAGCTCCGCAGGGCAGCGCTCAAGGCCTGCCTAGCCCGGCCCTCCCTACCTCTCCCACTTCTCCTTGCCTCACGCCTGACACCAAAATTGCTGTGATCACCCCACATTCACGTTCCTCCAGGGAGCCTTCCCTAACCCTCCCCAGGCTGTGGCGGATGCTCCTTGTGTATTCCCACAGAGCCTCATGCTTGGTACACCCAAGGGGAGGGGCTGCATCCATCGTTTTATTTCCAGAACTATTAAAGGTCGTTTCGTGCTTTCCTGTGGGCATGGAGGAGAGAGCAAGGGCTTCAGTCAGTCAGGCCTGGGCTCCAGCCCCTACTTACCAATTGCCATCTGTGTAACGTTAGCAAAATTCTTTAACCTCTCTGAACCTCCTCACCTGTTCCTGCGTGGTTGTTATGAGACTCAAAATCCTGTACACAAAAGCACTCCCGGCCTGTAAGGTGTTGCACGAGTGTCTGGGATCATGGTGATTATCATCTCTAATGACTGTCACAGTGCTTATGTCAATGCCAGGGGAGGGTGGTCAGGGAAGGCTTTTGTGACTCCTTGGACTCTGAAGGCTGGATGGGTAGGAAATGTTCAGGAGAGAGGAGGTGCCACTGCAGCTGTGGTGGCGGGAAGCTCAGTGGGAAGGTGGCTTCGGCTGGGACAAAGGATGCATGTGAGAGGGACCAGGAGACGACGGGGAGGTCCCAAGGGGCGCTGAGGATCAGCGGCTGGCTCACCCTCTCCTCCCTCTTAGCGCCAGCTCAGGCCAGACCTTCTTCTCTGACGTGGACTCCACTGATGCTGCCAGCACCTCTGGCTCCGCCTCCACCAGCCTTTCCTACGACTCCAGGTTAGCTTCCCAGCACGATGGATTCAAGTTCCATCACTCCCCCCAGAACCCCCAACCCCCTTTGGGATGTGTGGCTCACTCTCTGTACCTGAGTCTCAGGACCTGGCCGCCCTTAAGTGTGTGAGGGTCTGGGACCCTCCGGTTCTGAGTTAGGGGCATTCAGGCTGCTCCTCTTAGCCTGCTACAGGTTATGTGACACCTCTTGCTGGGCAGTTTCAGATCCAGGGTTCTTCCATTCTGGGGTTCTTGGCCTCTGCTTGCCATGATTTTGCAATGTCTGTGCCTCTGACTGCAGGGTCCCCTGACCCTGGTTCTTGGCTGTCTGAACCTGGTGTCTGTCTTGTGGGTCTTTAAGGAAAAGAGCCTGGGAGAGGGGAAATGGCATCCTGCAAAGTATAAGGACTAGGAGAGGGCACAGAAGTCCCTGGAGGCCTAGCTAAGGGTACAGCCTGCTTGGCAACAGCTGGTCCTCAGCAGCAAAGGGAGGGTGGTGCTGCAAAGCACACAGACAACTTTTTAACTGAGGCTCTTTTAACTGTATTTAGGATACTTGAGGCCCTTGCAAAAAGTAGAATTTGAAGTATCGATGTAATGCCCATTGAAGCGTGTCTTGTCTCCAAACATCTCTGTCTTTCTCTGCTGTTGCCTCTGTATTTTCTTTTCTCTCTTCGGTTCTCACTAGCTCTTTGGGTCTTGGTTTGTTCCTAAGTTATCTGTGACTGTGTACCTCTTCTTTTGTGTGTGTGTTTCTTTCCCCCGCTCTGCCTCTTTCTGCCCCTGTGGAGGGGAGAGGGGAGGAGAGGGGACACATGTCTGCCTCCCCATCCCTACCCCTGCGTGACGCCTCCGGCTACAGTGAGTCCAGGTGACCGACTAGGCAGAGTAAGCAGGGCCTCTGCACTGCACGGCTGCAGGAAGCACCAGCATGGTGCTCCTGGACTCAGGCCACACTGAGCTCCTCAGCATAAGAAACACGGTTTTAGAGCTGGACACGCCTAGGTTTGAATCCGGGCTCTGCCACTCCCCGGCTGGTGGTTTCTCCTCTGGAGCCTCCTCAGGGCTGTTGTAGGGATCCAGGGGGATCATCGGTGCCCAGGGCCTGGTGCCCGGAGTGCTCAGGGACAGGGACTTGGTGGGATAATCCCGTTTCATTCCCGTCGTCGTCCTCCTCCCCTTCCGATACAGACGGACAGTGGGCAGCCGCAAGAGGAAGCTGGCAGCCAAAGCGTACATGCCACTGCGGGCAAAGCGACGGGCGGCCGAGCTGGGTGGACGCTGCCCCTCCGACAGCAGCGCAGAGGGGGCCTCAGGCCCTGAGCGGCCCGACGAGGGCATCGACAGCCACACGTTCGAGAGCATCAGTGAAGATGACTCGTCCTTGTCCCACCTCAAGTCATCCATCACCAACTATTTTGGCGCAGCCGGGCGGTTAGCCTGTGGGGAGAAGTACCAAGTGCTGGCTCGGAGGGTCACGCCTGAGGGCAAGGTTCAGTACCTGGTGGAGTGGGAAGGGACTACCCCTTACTGACCAGCCCCTAAAGGATGCCAGCAGTCCTGGAAACCAAAGGAGAGACAGCGGAAGCCACAGGCTCCCCAGTTCTCTCCAGGCTGGGGTGGGGGAGGGAAGCAAGACGGAGCTGCAAGTGCCTGGCCAGAGCCCTGCCTGCCCGCCTGCCTGCCAGGGCTGTGCCTCCGCTGTGCCTGTTCTGCTCTCCGGCCCCCTCAGGCTCACCACCTCTTTGCCTGTGTCTCTGAGGTCCCGCTGGCTACTTCTCAGTGTCTCCACACACTCCCTCAAAACTGTTTACCTGTTCCTCTGAATTAGTGTCCTGCTGGCTCTGTGGGCTGTTCCTGAGGCCCGAGTCTTTGTCCCCAGTGCGTCCCTTTACCTTTCCTTCCCCTTTTGGGTGTGTGTGTTTACACACCCAACCCTCCACTGGACATCCTTACACCTGACCCATCCCAGGGACCACATCATGAGAACAAAAACCTTTGAGAAAGACTGGGTGAAGGTGGGTAAGAGGATGCCTTGAGGAGCCTTTCCCTCTCACTTTCCTGCCTCTCCTTCTGCCCTTGGGAAGAGGTGGTGAGGGTGGGAGAGAGAATGCCTCTGGAAAGCCTGTGTGGCAGAGGCCCTGGGACCCTCAGGATCTGAGGCGTGAGGAGACTCGGCCTCTGCTTCCGAAGGCACCAGCACCAGAGCCCAGTTATTAAGGCCGAGTGCAGGCTGCAGGCGTCAGCTTGAGACCCGTGTTCCCTTCCCTGGCCATATCCCTCTCTGTTACCATGGAGCTGGGCCTGGCCTCGCAAACCTGAGGCTGGAGGAAAGGAAGCTGTGTCCTGCTACACCTCAGACTGTCTCCTCTGCCTCCCACCCCCAGACTCACCCCCCCACACAGAAGCTTCCATCTGCATGTGTGCTTTCATCTCCAGGCACACACACGGGCCCCGGCCTCCAGGTGTACACACACACAGACACACACACACACAGCCACACATTCCTTAGGGTGCCAGCGTGGCTCCTGCCCTTGGCTTTTCCTTGGGCCTCTTCTGGGGGCCACGTGCTGCAACTCAATGTGAACATCCAGCACCTGCCCGTGAACCAGCTGCGACCCTAGAGGGAGGCATGGGGGAATCATACCCTCTTCCTTATCCCCTGCCCCGTTCTGAAATTGACAATCACTTTTGGGGCAGGTTGGGATTTTTTTAAAGGGCCTGAGTCATTAAGTCCCCTCAAAGGGAAGCCTTTGTCAGTGGGAATATACATAGAGTTCTTAGAACCAACATTAAAACTCAGACCCACCTGGAGGGAGACCAAAAATGGGAGGGGGAGGAGACCCCTCATTTTTGCTGCTTCCAGAGGTATTAGAAACTGACTCACTTGATTGGAAAGAAGTGCCTTGACTGGGGTGAGGGGTGTTACCTGAGGGGGTCCATCCTTGCCAACTGCTGCTGTGGCCTCCAGCTCGGCTGGGTTTTGGAGGCTGCCGGCTGCAAGGTGAAGGGGGGTGAACAATGAGCTGAGAGCAGCAGGCCTGGAGCTGGTTTTTCCATTAGGCTGACCCCTCCCCATCTGTGGGCATTCAGGGGGGTCCCTGAGAGAGTTCAGATGCCCCTTGCCTCAAACCTCAGCCCCAACAGTGCCTTTCAACTGGGACCTCACCTCCTGTACACAGCCCACCCACTTCCTTCTGCTTCCCAGCATGGTCCAGGCAGGAACAAGCTGGTTGGGCCCAGTTCTCTCCCTTCTCAGCTCCACAGCTGCTGCCACTGAAGCCCGCAACTGGGGCCAGGTGGAAGGGGAGCTGAGAAGGCAGCCCCCAACCGCCTGAAGTATGGGGCCAGGCCTAACCGGGTGCCTCCTGCCTGGCTCCAGAGAACACAGCAGCCTCCCAGGCCTGCCTTCCAGGCTTCTGAGAAAGTGCAGGATGAACACAGCCTGTCAGTGTACCTGCACCTCCTCTACTCAAGCTCCAGAGGCTCTGGCCTTGAAGAGGAGGACAGGGCGGGGGAGACAGTGTCTTCCTCACCTGGAGGTCAGTGTAAGGCCTGGCAAGGTCACACTGACTCCACACCCCAGCATTTCATTCACACCTGAAAATAGCTGCATTACTGCCAACTGACCTTATCATAACCCTGTGCACCTTCGAAAAGATTTATGGTTTTGAATTGCTGCTTTTAATAACATTTGTTATATTAAAATTATAATTAATGTGTCTGATTTACAACTTAAAGGCTCACTTTGAAAAACTGCCTGTCATTCCCCTAGTGAAATATCAGCTGTTGGGTACCAGGAGGAATTAGCTCTGGTTTCCTGGAAGGTGAAGAGGAATGGTGAGACGCCATCCTCTCTCTGGCCACCGTGCCACTCCTACCACCACCACATTCTCTCAGCAATATTCTCACCTTTGCCACCGGAAGGATGTGGAACCTTTTTTCTGTGAGTACCTGACCCATGGGGGCAAAAAACATTTGCTGAGGGCCACAGAGAAGTGAAAGCTGGGGACTGAGTTTAGAATGCGACCCTATGAAGATGCTTAAGTACAGGCACTGTAAAACTTCGTTCAGAGTTTGCAAGCACACAGTTGTAGAAATCTGAAGTGCATGCCTGGCCTGGCTCTGCTGGTTGGAACCTGCACCACTTTGTCCGGTTCCTCTGCTCCAGTTCCTCACCCTTCACATGCCTGGGAGAATCCCTGCTGTATTCAGCACCGCAGATACTGAGGGAGCGCTCTCACATGTAAATGGGACGGATTACCACCTTAAGTAAACTTCTCTACATCGGGGGCAGTTTGGAGAGAGAAAAAGAGGCAGCATGAAGGGATAGGAAAAAGCTACAGGGAACTGAAGGCTATGAGTTCAACTGAACTCTGTTTTCAGAGGTTAGTGTAGCATGTTAAACCCCAAGTGTTAATGTCTGCCCTTAAAAATCTTCTTTAACTACGGCTCCCGCTTTTTCCTACCACTCTTTCTGCTGCAACTTTATAACTGCCCTTGGAACAAAACCACAGTTGGAGCTAGGGCGGGGTAGAGGATGGGATTATTCTCTGGGCTGAAGTCAGTGTAATGGAATAAAAAGTGAATGGCACCAAGCATCCAGAGATCTGGGCTCTAGTCCAAGTTCTACAGTGAATAGCCCTATATACCCTCCTGAGGTGAGTGGTCTCCCCAAGCTGGAGAGTCCCTGCTGTTCCTGTGTGGTCTACGTTAGTGTTTACAAATTTACAACACATATCTATCTACGTTTAGAATTTAGGAGCAAGAAATTAGAATTCTCAAAAATTTCCCAAATCATAGCTTATTCTTAAAATACTGCGAACATTCTTCATACTTTCCCCGTTATTACAGATACCTAAAAAAAAAAAAATTAACAAATAGGAATAGTAAGCTTAGTAGAATTTAGAGAAAACTACAGCCTCTAGGGAATACTTAAACACTGGAAAACACCAGGGAACATCATTGGATAGTATTCAAATAACGTAACATTCAAATATCCTAACAAGGTTAAGAGTATATAGAATCATGTGTCAAAATTGCCAAATTAAGAATTTATTTTGCTTCCAAAGCTTATTTCTTGGAACACTGCTCATAGGATTTGTATAAAGTACACTACATGTATAAACTTATCTTATTTGCAAGAATAACTCACAGTTTGCGGCAGACAGGGCTAGACACACGCTCTTATGACGTGCCAACAATCACAGGCAAGACTGACTCGGTGGAAACCATCTCTCTTCTACATGCTCCTGTCCTGGTTCTCTTAGTCTTCAACTCTATGTTAGCATTTCTTGCTCTAGTTTTTTATTTGATGAAGCTGGATTCCCTCAAACCAGCAACGTCTCTATGCTTTTAAGCTTTAGTGTTCACAGATAAAACTTTAATACTTTTTCACATTTCCTCAACTGACTCTCCTCTCCCAGGGATTCTGGGATCAAAAAACGTAAGTTTCCTGAGAAATGCTGGGAAGGAATTCCCGCGTGGAAACCCTGATGAAGGTCCTAGCCCCAGCTCCCACAGCATCATCTGGGAGGACAATGTGGTATAGTGGCCAAACCATGTAAGCTGGAGTCACACAGACCCTAACCATTAAACTCCTCTAAATCCGTTCCCTCATCTGTAGAACTGAAGATATTATCACCAACATCCAGATCTGTGGGGAGAAGTAATGCAATATATCAACACCAACTACCACACATGTTTTCGGAGCGAATAACTCTTCCTTTAGAGTTGGCTACAGCAGGTTCTCTGGATCTTTGGCCTACAAAGGGATACATCCAACCTCTTTGAAAGAGGCAGTAAGAGCATCAGATTTAGAATCAGAGACTTGGGTTAGGAGCCTAGTTCTGCCATTTACTTTAAGTGTCTCCTGCTCTCTGACCTCAGGTTTCAACTGCAAAATGAGGATAACATTGACTTGTAAGGATAAAATAATGTTAAGAACCTAGGGCAGTACCTGGCAGAGACAGCTGGTGTCTTGTCCCTGTCTTCTCCTATTTCCTGTAGTCAGCTGTGACACTGTCACAAAGGAAACAGTTTTCAATGCACAGTCAGCACAGAAAATGAACTAATGAAGGCCAGAGATAGAAAGAAAAACCTCCTTTGGAATTAGTCCCACCTAAAAAAAGTTGAAGAAAAAAAGTTGGATTTTTGCCAACTCCATAAATTAGGAAGTAATTGTGGACCATAGAGAAAGCTTTAGCTATTCAAATCCTTGAAACATCAATTCAGGAAATTATCTGCCAAACCCAGTGCAAGAGACCAAATGGATTCAAACATATCCCTCACCTCGAGCAGCTCAAAGTCTAGAAACAGGAGACTGACTGTGACACACAAGGGTAACAGGACATCAAGGCAGGAGAGATTCCTTCCAATCAGGGATGCCAGGCCTTGCCAAGAAGACTTCTTAAGCACTCATGCAGAAGGGTGATCAGGCAGAGGGGATGGCCTGAACACAGGAGTAACAGCACAGCATACTGGAGCACCCACATGCCAGAGTAGGTGAGGATGGAAAATTGAGTTGAGACAAGGCTCCGAAGGGCCTTGAAATCCAGACCAAGAAATTGACTTTATCGTGAAAGCAATACGGACAGTCCATTTGGGGTCCCCAGTACATTTTCGGTAGGGTTTAATTTACACAAGATTTTCACATGCACCAGAAACATCTGTCATTAAAAAAAAAGGACATCACCATTAACATTTTCTTTCTCCTCCTGAGGCAGCCCACCAAACTCCCCACTATCACAAACAGGATCCTCTGGACCTTTGGAAGGGGCTCAGCCTGAAGTCGCTACAAGGTCTTCATGGAAGGGTCCTTGCAGATCCTCCCTCATTTTATATCTGGAGGAACTAAGGTCCAAGAAGCACAGAAGGTGTCAGAACCAGAGCCTGGCAACACCCTTCCCACACACCCTTCCCTCTTGAGAAGGAAGACCTAGGATACCACAGATGTCTGTGGACTCCCACCCAAACTGCCCATGGTGTCCCCAGAGCGGAGTCACCTTGTGACAGAGCCATGGAAGCAGCCTAGATCAGGTCTCTCTTCTCACCCCACAGGGATCTTCCCCGTGGAGAAGACACCTGTGGAACAGGTTTAGGAAAGCACCAGACAGAGTGAGCAGCCTTGGCTATCCCGTCTGTAACTCAACATTGCCACCCACTTTCTGGACCTCACTACAGTTCAGTTTCCTTTCCTATAAAATGGAGACTGGCTTAGGCCACTGGTTTACAAACTTTTAACAACAGAAACTTAGCTTAATACATAAAAATAATAAAAGCACAGTTGCACTGGTTGAAGTATGAGTAGCCCCCAGGATACCTTCTGTGAACCCCTGGAGTTCTGTGGAGCAAGTCTGAAAAACACTTGTCTAGCAGTCCCCCTGGGTTCTTCCTCCTTCAGGATGCTCAGTTTCAATGCTCAAGTGGAGAGGTTAGTATGGTGGGCTCAGAACCCATGTCTCCACTGAGCAGGGCACCAGAACCTTCTGATGTCTGCCCCTTCAGGCTAGGAAAGAGTCAAGACCTACTCCCAATCCGTGAGGCTATGTCTAAGCCCTAATACTCCCTAGTCCTACGTGCACTCAGGAAGCCCACTCCCAGTCCCACTTCCTCAGGACTCAGGAATAACAAACACCATCTTTAGCTAGAAGAAATAAAATTCTGCTTGTCCCTGAAATTCCACCATTAGCAATTCATGCTTTTGGATAAAGCACTTCCAGTTCCCCTAGAAGGTGGCATTCACCCCACACACTTGTCAACAGGTCCATTCCTCATGAGAGGCAGGAGAGTAATAACATACTAGGCACTCAATATAGGCTCAGTGAACGTAGATGACAAACCTCACCCTCACCGCTGCCTCCCCTTGGTCCCCATACACAATCACCCTCGCCCTCCCACCCCCAGCCACCTTTACGCATGATGCACTCAGAGACAAGATCCACGGGGTTCTTGCTTGGCCTGACTGGCCCAGCGTCCTCTTCCAGCCTCAGAAGCCTTGGACCTTCACCCTCCACAAGTTACTTAACTCCTCTGTGCAGACAAAAGCATGGAATCCAGAGATGCGAGGGGGCAGAGAGAAGCCTCCCTTCCCCCAGAGAACAGCTGATGAAGGTTAGAGTCAGCCAGCAGGAGGCACAAGAAGCCCCCACTCATTCCTCCTCCATGGCCTCCTCCAGCCACTTTAAATAGTGCACATCTCCTTGGTCCATGGGAAGACTGAAGACCTCTGGGATTTCAAAAGGATGCACCAACCTTTGGAAAGAAAGCAGAGCTCTGTGAGTGACCAGGATTAGTCAGCCTACGCAATAAAACCCAACTGGGCAGCCTCACTTGAGGCCCTCTGCAATATGCCTGCAGCCCACTGCTCCAGCCCCACAGCCCACCACTCCTACGCCTGTTACCCATCTGTCACCAAGTGATGAGTTAGGCCAGATGGCTTTAGAGTCTCACAGACATGGGTTAAAATTCTAAGCCTGCCACTTACTAGCTACGTAAGCACGGACAAATCACTTAATCTCCCTAAAGGCCCTGCAAAAGAGGGGATAAAAATAGTACCTATGTGACTGGATTGCTGAGGATTACGAGACAAGGTATATAAGGCACATACCTGGTACGCTGGCGCTGTATGCATTCAGTAAATGTTAGCTACTGTTTTTATTACTATCCTTCACTCATCACTGTGCCTTCCGCAAACAACTCCCCCTTCCCCTGTACCTCTGAATTCTCTTCTCCACCTAGAAAGTTCTCCCTGTTCCTGCTGATAAATCAAAGCCTCTCTGTTCCTCAAGGCTCAACTCAACCACTGACCTTTCCCCAGGGATCTTCCTTGACCATCCAAACCCACAGCAATCTCTCCCTTTTCCCCATTTCTTTCACCTAGTCCTCACCTAGTCCTGGCACAAAATGCCAGTTCTCTTCACTTTCCAAACGGAAAAAACATAAGGCCCTGGGCCCTGGTCCCATCATTACACAGGGGAGTAATGACCCTCTGCTGCTTTTTTGCTGAATTAGGCGCTGTAAAGTTCTCACGAGATAGAACGTTTACTAAATCACAACATGTGTATGTATAGGTGCTTAAACATTAGCAGTAAGCTGGGTAATTTTATCTAATGCCTGAGAAAAATGAATTTTCTTATTTCATGGATACCTAGACCAGTGTATGTGTTTTTATAAGCAGACACACAGAATTCAGTGTATGTATGTCTGAATAGCATTCAGCATAAGACTTTTTTTTTTTGCGGTACGCAGGCCTCTCACTGTTGTGGCCTCTCCCGTTGCGGAGCACAGGCTCCAGACGCGCAGGCTCAGCAGCCACGGCTCACGGGCCCAGCCGTTCCGCGGCACATGGGATCCTCCCGGGGCACGAACCCATATCCCCTGCATCGGCAGGCGGACTCTCAACCACTGTGCCACCAGGGAAGCCCCCAGTATAAGGCATTTTAATAACACTTTAGGAGTAAGAGCTGTCACTGATACAGCAATTCATGCGTATACTTGACATAAATTCTTTCCAATATGCATAACAACCCAAGGTACTAGTATAGTCCCCATTTTATAGATGGGGCAACTGAGGCACAGAAAGTAATTTGCATGCACTTATGCTACAACCAGCAAGTGAAGGAGGCAGGATTTGACGCTGGAGGTCAAGCTCTGGGGTTCACTGTCTTAACCCTGAAGCTGTCTTTCACCAGTCAGGCTGTAATTTCTCAACAGCACTGGTTCTACCAAAGATGCCCTATTTCCACACCTGCGCTAAGGCAGTAACATGAGGGCCTTCTCTACCAATAGATCTGAGACCCAGTATAGCCATATAACCATAGAATCCTGCCTGGTTCCCTAAGATGTGAAAGGAAAGGGTTTTATCATCCAGACAGGTGACTTGCATCCTGGCTGCAAGGAGAGTCAACCTGGGTGCTTTGAAGAATACCATATTTGATCCCCATTCCAGATGAATTAGGTCAGAATCTGAGGTGGAGCCCAAATTGGTAATTTGAGAAAGTCTCCATGTGATTATAATATGTAGCCAACATCAAAAATCACTGGTTTAGGGGCTTCCCTGATGGCACAGTGGTTGAGAGTCCGCCTGCTGATGAAGTGGACATGGGTTCGTGCCCTGGTCCGGGAAGATCCCACATGCCGTGCAGCGGCTGGGCCCGTGAGCCATGGCCGCTGAGCCTGCGTGTCCGGAGCCTGTGCTCCGCAATGGGAGAGGCCACAACAGTGAGAGGCCCGCGTACCGCAAAAAAAAAAAAAGTCACTGGTTTAGACCAGAGAATCTCAAGCTTTTACTGTGCATAGGAATCACCTGGGGATCTTGTTAAACTGTAGTTTGATTCAGTAGGTTTGGGGTGAGTGTGAGATTCTGCATTTATGGCAAGCTTCCAGGTGATGCCAATTATTACAAAACTACACTCTGAATGATAAATAAGGATTTATACCAGTGGTTCTCAAGTGGAGTCCACTGACCCCTGGGGAACTCCAAGCCTCTTTCAGGAGGTCCATGAGGCCAAAATTATTTTCATAATAATACTGTTATTTATCTTTTCATTTATGTTGACATTTGCACTGATGGTACAAAAGCAATGATGGGTAAAACTGGTGGCACCTTAGCATGCATCAAGACAACGGCACCAAACTGTACTAGCTATCACCGTATTCTTCACCACCACGATACTTGCATTTTAAAAAAGCCAAATTCACTTAAGAACATTCTTGATAATGTGGTAAAAATTACTATTTTTATTAAAGTTTGACCCTTGAGTGTGCCTTTTTAATATTCTGTGTGACAGAATGGGAAGCATACATAAAGCACTTCTGCTATATACCTAAGTTCAATGTTGTCTTAAACTTGTCTGACTGAGACACAAGCTAAACTAGACTTTTCCCAAAGAATACCATTTTTACTTTCAAGCCTGAGTAACCATCATTTGTCAGTTTTACAAATTAAGGTTACTCAGGTTTGAGTATTAGGTAGACATTTTCTCAAATATGAACAAAGTGGGCCCATCAATCAAACGAAGACAATTTATATCATTTAATGCCAATTTAAAAATTCATGTTTTGGGGGTTGGGGAGGGAAGGACTGGGAGTCTGGGATTAGCAGATGCAAACTATTATATACAGGATGGGTAAACAAGGTCCTACTGAATAGCACAGGAAACTATATTCCCTATCCTTTGATAAACCATAATGGAAAAAAATATAAAAAAGAATATATATATATATATATATATATAAAAATGAGTCACTTTGCTATACAGCAGAAATTAAACACAATATTGTAAATTTAAAAAAATCATGTTTTTAAGCAAAAATGAGAAGTTTGGAAAACCTGAATTTATCATCATGAGCTTAAAAGTGTCCCAATATTTAAAGGTGCTTTTGACAAGATCCAGCTCTCTTATTAAGCCAGATTTTGCAAAAATGTAAAATGATGCCATTCTCACTTTTTTGTGTTTTGGAAAATATGGTTACTTTCCATAAAAATACATTACTAGCATACCTTGTTTTATTGCACTACGCTTTATTACAGATACTGTGTTTTTTTAGAAATTGAAGGTTTGTGGCGACCCTGCATCAAGCAAGTCTATTGATGCTACCTTTGCTCACTTTGTGTCTCTGTCTCACGTTTTGCTAATTCTTGCAAAATTTCAAACTTTTTCATGATTATTATATTTGTTATGGTGATGTCATCAGTGATTTTTGATGTTACTATAATTGTTTTTTGTTTTGTATTTTTAAATTAAGGTATGTACATTGTTTTTTTTAGACATAACGCTATAACACACTTAATACGCTGCAGTATAGGTTAAACATAACTTTTATATACACTGGGAAACCAAAAAAAAAAATCATATGTTTTACTTTATTGCGGTGGTCTGGAACCAAAGCTGTCTGAGGTATGCCTGTATTTATGTTAATATGTAATTGTTCTATTACTGTTAATTTAAATGAACTAAAAATACATATTTTTAAAATTTCTCAGCTTTAATTTCTAATACAGGAAACTTTGATATAACCCACATAAACAAAGGTCTTTTGGGTCCTTAATAATTTTTAAAAGTGTAAAGGGATCCTGAGACCAAAATTTTGAGAACCGCTGGTTTAAAACTCACTCACTTTACAGATGGAGAGCCTGAGGGACAGGGCCATACCCAGGGTCACATGGGAGGCTGGTGACTAAGCTCTAGGTATCCTACTTCTCAAGCTCATTTCACTTAGTCCCCAGCATGTCCCGGATGGGAAGAGATTGCACTATTACCTGATGTAGCTGGATAGCATACGGACCTTGGAAGTCTTTGTCTTTATTAACTGTAAAAGAAAAAAAAAAAATCACTGCTTCAGGAGCTCAGCCCCAGCTCTGCAGCTGCTCATTCATCTGGCTGTTTAGGAGACAGCATTCCTCCGGGTCCCCAGGCCCTGTTAGTAGCTTACGAATGAACCTAGGGCATCTTATGTGGGGCAAGAACCTCAGTTAATTGATCTTTGCTAATTTTTAATTGGAACTGTGCTCTCACTCTTTCCCTATCGAGGCCGCATCCCCCTATCCTCACTCACCAGCAGGATTTCAGTGGCTTCTTCTATTTCTCCATTCCAATAGTATCTGGAGAAGAGAATAACAACAAAAAAAATTATCATGCTTACAAGATGAGTTCAGTGAAATAAGCCTGGCCCAATTAGGTGACTTACTAAGGTGGAAACTTTAAAATCTTTCCAAGCCCATATAAAAAAGCCTAGAGTTGGCCAAGGCCCTACAGGTCATCTAGTCTAAACATTCTAATGCACGCTTCTAGCACCTGCCTTAACTTTCCTGGCGGTGAGGGGCTCACCATCTCCTGAAAGGTTTTCACATGAGATGGTTTTTCTTATGGTGTGCCAACATTTGCCACCCAATTGTTTTCCCCAACTTCCACATGAAGAACCACCTCAGGACAGCCCTACAGAAACTCCTATATGTTCTCTCCTCTAAACTGGGCATCTCCAGCTTTTTCAATGCTCATCCCATACTCTTGGCTTCCAGGTACCTCCCCATCCTTCGGACTAGTGCTATCTGTATCACTGACTCTCAAAGCTGAGTGCCCACCAATGGGTAAATGAAGAAGCACAGGAAGATTCAGGGAAGAAGTAAGCCTTATAAAATATGGAAACAGGTCCAAAAGTTAAAAACAAAGTCAGTGACAATGTTTAGAAAAGAGTACGAGAACAGCATCATGGGAAGGGAAAGAAATTCGGCCTGAGAATGCCTATGCTAACCCAGGGCAAATCTAAGATGACTTAGGCCACTGGCCTCATCTCACAGAGCTGTGGTAAAAGGATGAATTACAAGGAAGGATGAACACATGAGGGGAAACAGTAGGCTAAAATTCTGTTCTAGCTCCAAAGCAGTAGCTCCCAGACTGGCTTTATGTGAATCACTTACATAACCTCTTAAAAATTCAGATTCAAGGCCCATCCTCAGGGAGACTGATTGAGTAGATCCAGGAGGGAGCTCAGGAATCTAAAGCATAGCCAAATTTGGGAACCATAGCTATAGGTGATGTGAGCCACTGAGGGAATGACACTGCTGGGCAGGGGAAAGCTTTCATTATATAGCACTTTTCTGTTCTGACCTTTAGAGTAGAGTTATTTCTCTCCCTCCCTCCCTCCCTCCCTCTCTCTTGCTCATCAGGGGAGGAAGGAGATGAGAAACAGGCTGATAAGAGAGATTAAGGCACAAGACAAATCCTGCACAGCCAGTACTGGGATACTGACATATTTTGATGAGGGAAATGGTGCAGACCAGGCTTAAGTAAAGGAGCTGATGAAATGAAAGGCAGACAATACAGAGAAACAGCCTGTCGCATATGCTAAACTCTCAAAGTTTTCCAGAGAATCCAAAAGTAATGGAAATTATAATCTTTGATATCCCTAGTTGGCTTACTCAGGGATGGAATGCCCAGTTTGACTTCTTTGCTAAAAGCAAGCTAATTGATTTAAACAAAGAATGTGCAGACAAGATTCACTGTTCCTAAACTATAGATTTTTTTCTCCCTTCTCTAAACACAGCCTGTTTTTGCTTTTGTTGAATGACATAAACCCACTGGTTGATTTCCTCTGAATAGAAATTGACAGTGAACTATTGATTAATTAAATGCCTTTGAGTTGTTCTTTGACAATTCCCCATTAGTTTAGTGCTCTTTCCACCAGGCAGGACCTGACCTAGCACTCCCACACCCTTCCACTGGCTACAGCAAAACTCACAGTGAGTATGCCTTAGGCAGGATGTTCACAGAGGCAGTCAGCTTCTTATCCAGTATAGCCCTAAAGCAAAGAGAGAGTGACAGTTACTGGGGCAAGTGTCCAGCAGTTCCTGGGAACTACTCAGGAAACCTAATTCTAAATAGATAACCATTTAGAGTGCCCCTCCCAACTCAAACCAACAAGTTTCATAACTACTGTGCACAGAACCTCTGAAGACAGAGTTGTTTATAAGTCCTTCCCTGGGTGGGGAGAGAAGTAGGGAAGCAGCTATGGGAAGGCAGTTTTAAAGGACAGGCCTAGTCTGCTTGGGGAATGGGAATTTATTAGCAATGGACGGAGAACAAAAAGACCTGGATTCCAATCCAGCCCTGCAGTAGGATGGCTGTGTGACCTTATGCAAGCTCTTTCATTCCAGAAATAAGTATTTGAGCACCTATCCAAGACAGGCACAACCCCCTCACTCAACCTGACTCCTGCTGTACAATCAGAGGATTGGTTCAGTCGGTGGTTTCCAACTCTTTTCACCACCAAAAACTCCTTTTATTATGTCACCTTCTTCTCCTTTTCTCTCTTGGATATGTACAAGGCTGACAGGGTGTCTGACTCCTGCTGTACAGAGGACTGGTTCAGTCGGTGGTTTCCAACTCTTTTCACCACCAAAAAACCTTTTATTATGTCACTTTCTTCTCCTTTTCTCTCTCGGATATGTACTAGGCTGACAGGGTTTCTGGTCTGTAGATATCATGTGACCACATGGAACTGATATAACTCCAAGGGAAAGCAAAAAAAGGCATCCTATCCTATGTCTGTCTTTGGCAAATACAGGCTCTTTTCACGTTTTATTTTTGTGAAGGTTCCTACCACAACCCTAAGAGCACAATTATCATCACCTTTGCAGACCTCTAAAAACTTTCTTTGACAGACCACAGGTTGGAATTCCTGCTCTGATAGTCTGATTCCTGTGCAGAGCCGTGGTGAACACAATAAAAAGTGCCTGAACTAGTACAAGTGTCATAGAAACAAAAGCACCACCAAGTCATCGATGCAAAGAAGTGTCCCCAAGTATCAAACCTCAAGCCCTCGGAATCAGGCAGGCCCTGACAACCCCCTCTCAGGTCTCAGTCAGCCAAGGGGGCCTGGTCTCAGTTCTCTGAAGTGTGTGGCCCCTGCCAGATAACCCTAATCTGAGCCCTGCTTACTGATCTCTCCTTCTCTTGACTGCTGCCAAGAGAACTGACCTACTTTCTCTTCCCCTGAGTTCCAGGCTGAACAGTGCTCTATTTAAGGCTCCACTTTAATGTGGTATTACCACCACCCTCATTCCCTTGGAAAGTTCCAGGTGCTAAATAAATCTGACTGTAAGGAGAGGCACACGGCACAAATTTGTTTAAGCAACGTCTGCAAGTCTCACTCAATCAAATGATCTGCTGAGAAATTACACTTCACTGGTTCTGAAGGTGGCACGCAAACAGAGGGAGTGAGTTAAACCTCTAGAAAAAAATAATCCATTGCCTCACGGGCCTCCAATCTCTTTGGCAGTGTCAACTCCTGAGTAATCACAGCAACCTGTCCTTGGGTAAAAGACTGTAAAGTTATGGAGGGCTGTGTTATTCAAAAAGCTCCTGGGGCCAAACAAACAAATAAAAAACAAACACACACACTAAAGCCCAGCAGTGAGTCACAGACGGAAAGCTCAAGCCCTCATGCTCATGTGAGTAAAGCAGAAGACAGAGCTTCTGGGGTCTCTAGAAACTGCAAAGTTCACAGACTAGAGGCTCACAGACCAGATACATGGTTTGGCTCTCACGGCATTTAAAAAAAAAATCTTGATTTTGCTACCAATATTTACTATCAGGGTATTTCACATTAAAAAAAATACACATTACCTAGCTTCTCACCAAAAAATGAATCTTATAACATTTTGGACCTGTAGTCCTACAAGGTCAGATTTAGCTAGAGCTGAGCAGGGGCTACTCCCTCTAGGCATGACATACGCTTCTCGGGTCAGTTTCCACTGTTCTCCCTCTCAACACCTGGGACGAGTAAGGGTTGCTAACTACAGACATTCTTCAGCGCGACACCCCAGCCCACTTCACTCATTTAAGTTGCCTGCTTGCTTGTGATATCTTTGTCTGTGACCCTGGCCTAATCCAATTCCCTCTCCCTACGTATGAAATCAAAGCCCAGAGAAGGAAGACTTGTCTAAGGTCATATGTGGTGTTGGCAGCAAAAAGGAAACTAGAATCCAGGTCTCCTGGTTCAACATTCAGGTTTTCACCCTAGCCCCAATAAGAGATTTTTCCAGTTTAGAATGTATCTGTCAATGAAGAGCTCTAAGAACACGGCCAGGAACCAGAATGGAACTGAACCAGAACTGAGAGGCAGCAGACTGAACGCTAAAGAGCACTAAAGAAGAAAGAGCACTAAACTGGAGCTGAAAGACCTGGTCCCAGCACTAGTTCCGCAGGCAGAGCTGGGGTTCCTGCCGGCTAACATTTGTGGGGCCCTCCCCACCATGTACCCACTTACTCTCCTTCTACAAACCCTGGAAGCGAACCTATTTGCCTCTCTTCTACCCAAATCATTAACGAAAAATACTGAACATAACAGCTGAGGGGAGAGCTCCACTGCCACATCACTCAGGACTCCAATCTAGACTTCCAGCTCAGCTGGTGGGCTGCACACACACTGCAACCTCCCTTTTACACCCCACACCAGAAACAACAAAACATTTCTTCACCGTGCCAGAGCACGGTAAGAACGCTTTATGTACTAGCAACTAGGAGGAGGCCCTAAAGAAAAAAGGCAGCCCTGAGACATGCATGGGAGCATGTAGGGGGACTTCCTAACTTCAGAGCCTTTGAATCTTTTAAACATTGGCAGTGATCTGGTTTTCTTGGCCTCCAGCAACCTGGAGAATTTTGAAGAATATAAAATTATAATTTTTTCACTAACATAGCCATAGTTTGAATCATATAAGTTGACCATCCTAAAAATTCTTCTTGAGGTGATAAATTATTCTTAGAAACTGATTTTAACTGTTGAATCCTAGATTGTAAAAGTATTTCAAGAACCTTCTTAGTAAGTTTTGCCTACATCTGCTATGTAAATATGTATGCCTATTACTTTATTTCCTTTATTCCTTATTACATTTATACTGTTCCTTTGTAAATAAATGTGCCTTTTTGAACTTGGGGCAGGAGGTGGGGGAGAGAAAATGAAAGCAACAGTTTGAAATCTAGATGTAATGGGAACCAGAGCAGGCAAGAACTTGGAGGCAACCATCAAGGTAAATAGTTGGAATGCCACAGCAGGAGCAGGTAGACCCCCTAAATCTCCCATGGCCCAGGCAACAGTAATGGGATGTTTGATACAGGCAGAGCAGTGAGCATGGGAATTTTGGACAAAAGGCAAAACACTGTCCTAGTGGCCGGCGACAGCCAAGGACAAAAGGGAGAGTACATGCCCAGAAGACCAGTTACTTGGGTACCCCAGCCAGTAGAATGTCCACATGCCCCACACGCACATTGCAGAGTACCACCTAAGGTCAATTCCTCCATTTGTTTCTACACTTCCCCATAAGCATAGCTAAGAAGATGAGAGAGGCTACAATTAAGAATTACAAAGTATTTGAGGAAAGTCAACACCATGAGAGACTAAAATTCAACAACAAAAAAGAATTTACATGAGAAGGATAATTGAAACCAAGATTTAAAAATAAGTACAATTATGTATACTTGAAAATTGCTAAGAGAGTAGATCTTAGAGTTCTTATCACACAAAAAAGTAACTGAGATGATGGATGTTTAACTAACCTTATTGTTGTAATCATTTTGTAATATATACACATATAAAATCATCATGTTGTATACCTTAAACTTACACAATGTTATATGTCAATTATATCTCAATAAAGCTGGAAGAAAATTAAGCATAAAATAAGTGTAATTACTATCCACAGAAAGATAAAGCAAGATCATTGCATTTATAAAACAAGATCAGACAATTACAAAACAAGAGCAGTTGGTTATTAAAAACAATCTGAAATCTTGAAAAGGAAAACTATAAAATTCAGTCTAAAGAAAACTATAAAGTTCAGTCACAGAAAACAAATTCAACATCTATAAGGAGTTCCAGGAAAGCGTGATGCAGATAGAGAGAGTAGAGAGGCTATATTTAACAAAGTAATACTTGAACATTAAGACAAAGAGAAATTCCTAAAAACTAGGAGAAAAACCAGAGAGAAAAAGCATTACCTATGAAGCAATGAGACCCCATTCCTGACCTCTCATCAGCAACCTTGGATGCAAAGACAGTAGAGACCCCTCTTCAAGTTGATACTGATCCATTTACCTGAATTGGCCTTTCAACTACTGTATTTAGAATCCAGGCCTTAGAATCCTTCTCCTCCTGATACCCAACACCTCACAGATGTCAGCTGAAGTTGTTCCCTGACAGGACCCAGAATGGCTAGTCCAGGGGTCCAGAGAGTTCAGCACAGATCCTGGGTATACCAGAAGCACAGGAGGGATTTCAATTCCTAGCTGCTAAATACAATACTAGGTCATATTTCTGGAGTAATCACATGTTCTTTTAGACAAGAGCTGTTCTCCAAACGTAATGTAAATAAGGAAAAAATAGACATTCTGGTTAGGGGCAGGAAAGATGGAATCAAATGCAAAGTTAACCTGGGACCATCAGTTTGGAGGCTATATGCCCCCAAAGACCGAATTCAACACATAAAACACTATAACTTAAGCTATCATCAAACCTCAAGAATGCTGAGTTGTAGAGCAAGAAGAAAGGGAGCCAGGAGCCAAATCCATTACCCCTCAGCCCCACTAACCCGCTTCAAAGCTGCAGCTATAAAGGAGTGAAGGGCAGGGGAGCTTCCCTAGCAGTCCAGTGGTTAGGACTCGGCGCTTTTACTGCCGTGGCCCTGGGTTCTATCCCTGTTCAGGGAACTAAGATACCGCAAGCCTCAAGGCGCGGCCAAAAAAAGAAAAATAAATTTAAAAAAAAGAGAAGTGAAGGGTGGAAATTCAGATACAACAAACATTTTTTGAGCATCTACTACATTTGAGTTACTGGAATAAGGACTGTACATATATCATATAATCCTCTCAACAACCCTGTGAGGTAGGTGGCATTATCCTATTCTATAATTCAGAAAACTAATGCTTAGAGAAGGGAAGCAACTTGCCCGAGGTCACACAGCAAGCGGCAGAGCCAAGATTCAAATTGTTCTGATTACAAGTCCAGTGCTCTTTCCACCACAGCACAGCTGCTTTTAGAAATCTGCCATATACTTGGAATTGGTCTCCTCCTCCTCTTGTCATGGTGGGCACCTCTGGGACTGAGCAAAGACTATCTCCAAAAAGAGAGCTGGGTCAGGAATTAGGACTCTTAAATTCTCAACTTGCAGAGTTCCACTGTTCTCTTATCTTAACACCTTGAGCAAGCCAGCTATCTCTCTGGGTCTCATATCACTTTTACGCCCCCATGCACCACTCAGCATTTTCAGGCCCAGCCGCAGGATCCATCCAAGTGTCATTCAGCCACGCTTCTCATATCACCCCAAGCAGACAGCTGTGTAGTTCATCACTGGACAGATGGGGTTGTCAAAAGCAAGAGAAGTACCCCAAAGTGGCCCCTCTGGAGCATCCTGGTAGCTCCCGAGCCTCCTGGGGCAGCACCTAAGCCCCTTCACCATACCTGGCAATATCTCTGGCAATCTGCTCGTTGGGACAGTTGACAAAAACGATGGAGTAAGTGCCGGAGACATAGCTGCCAGTGACAACTGAAAGGAGCTGCTGGCTAAGGGTCCTGAGCATGGGGTATGTCAGGAAAGAAGCAGTCAGGATCTACACGGTGGGAAAAGAGAAGCACAGATCAGCAGTGACATGGCCAACTCACTATTTGCCAGCTCAAGCAGACTGGAACCAAAGCTGAGCACCATAGTTTCATCCCTATTTCCCATCCACAAAATAATTCCTGGGATCTGTATTGAGTTTTAGTGCTTAAAGTTTTCATGTCTAGATTATTTGCCTCTGCATTTTACAAATGGTAAAAAAAAAGAAAAAAAAATAGAGGCTCAAAAATCAAGAAACTTGCTCAAAATCACACAGCTTTGGGAATTCCCAGGTGGTTCAGTGGTTAGGACTCAGCGCTTTCACTGCCGGGTTCAATCCCTGGTAGGGGAACTAAGATCCCACAAGCCATGCAGTGTGGCCAAAAAAAAAAAAAATCACACAGCTTTTAACTGAAGCCAAGATTAGGAGTCGAGTCTGGATAACTTGAAATCCATTCCTACTGTACAAAACTGCTACTGGAGGTAACGCCAAATGGCATACACTGAACTGCTATCATCCTATGGAGATTATTATGAATGACAAGTTCTTACACCTGTCGATGTTTTAGGGAGTTAATTTCACCTTCGTTCAATTGTGTATGTGCCAGGTGCTACAGGGAGTCTAGTGGAAAAGGAAGGCTGATTCTAAAGCAATGTGACCTGTACTACTGTGACAGACAACTGGAGGGTCCAGGAGGAAGGCTCTACCTGTTGGAGACAGGAAAAGGCTTTGAAAAGAAGGTACTATCTAAGTTGGAACTGAAATAATAAGCAGAATTACAAAAGAGGGAGATATGATAATATGTACAAACTCAAGAGGTATGTAGGGACAGATAAACTATCTAGTCTGCATGGGTCTTAGTCTGTGGGTAAGAGATTGGGAGGAGAATGAGACTGGCTAGAACTATAAGGGGTCAGGCTAAGGAATGTAGGGTTCATACTCAAGTGATAAGGTGCTTTTGCAGGTTTTAAAGTAGAAGAGTAATAATATGATCAAGCTGAAGGAGGATGGGGAGTGACCAGAAGGCAGTCTATTCAAAAGGCCATTACAATGTTCCAGGAAAAAGATATTAAGATCTTGAGCTAAGAAAATGGCAGTGACACCGTGAGAGGAAAAGACAGGCAAGATATACTTTTTCTTGCTTTTTTAATGACAAACTTTTAAAATAAGAGGAAATGAAAAGAACTGGACGACATCTTCTATTCCAGGGTTCTTTGCTGGGGGAATACAAAGGAGTCATTAATAGGGATAGAGGCAACTTGCAAGGAGTCCCACTGTGACTCAGGCAAGACTGAACAAGAGCGTGCTTCTCCTGCCTCCCAGCCCGGGGCTCACATCTCGCTCAAATAAACCTCTGTCCTCCCACTCCTACGTTATTGCCCGGCCCTGCCTGGCTCCTACTTCTTGGCAGGGCCTGAGTAGTGTTTTTATGTCTTTAGCTTCAGTTTGACTAGACGCCTGTCTGGGGTGGGTTTCTCATTCCCTCCCACTACCTCCACCAACACCTCCAATCCAACACAGTAGTCCTCTGAACTAAACCAGTGACCACACAAGAAAAAAAGAACCAGGCTTTTCAATGAAGCTTTTGGTGACAACTCAATTAGATTATATAGGGAAAAAATAAAGGCACTAAAGAGCAGGATTTAAATCCTAGCGCCAGTACTGATGCCTGTGGTCTTCAACAAGTTACTTCCTTTGCCTTCTATAAATGTTATCTAGAAACTGGAGATTATGACATCTGTGCTGCCTGCTTCAGAGCTGCCATGGGTTCAAACAAGATAGGAAAAACAATATATAATCACTAATCCAATAAAGGAAGGGACTGTGGTTTGCTCATCACTGTGTCCCCAGGACAGTTCACGGCACACAGCAGGTTCTCAAGAAATAACTTCTAGACTGGTGAATTAGTACACCAGCAAGACGTTGATATTGAGACAAAATAGCTTTGTGAAGTAAGTAGGGCTTTTGGGTCACCCACAGAGCTTTTGGCAGAGAATCGGACAAACTAAAAAACTGTAAGGGGTCAACGACATGACTCTAAGGTGGCTTCCTGTACAGACTCTAAACAAAAGGAGTAATGGTCTGTCCCTCAACCAAAAAAACCATTCCTAAGGAAGATCTAGGGCATTTCGGCCAGCAGTTATCAGTGTAACACTGAGCTAATAGGATTAACTATAAACTCACCTAAAATGCATTGAAACTCTTGTATGAACTCATAGTCAAAAAATACTAAGAGGGGGCTTCCCTGGTGGCGCAATGGTTGAGAGTCCACCTGCCGATGCAGGGGACACGGGTTCGTGCCCTGGTCCGGGAAGATCCCACATGCCGCGGAGCGCCTGGGCCCGTGAGCCATGGCCGCTGAGCCTGCGCGTCCGGAGCCTGTGCTCCGCAACGGGAGAGGCCACAACAGTGAGAGGCCCACATACCGCAAAAAACAACAAAACAAAACAAAACAAAACAAAATACTAAGAGGTACTTTGGGCCCTCAGGTATTATCTAAGATAACCCTTCATTTAACAGATAATGTTACCGAGGCAGAACATACAGAAATTCTGTGACAGAAGCAAGACTTAAATCCAAGACTCCTGCCTCCTTTTCTGGGCTCTCTGAACTGCAAGGAGCACGACTAGGAATTGATACAGTGGGCTTATTTCAGCTTCACTTAATCCAGCGCCTCGCAACTTGGGGCAATTTTTCCCCCAGGGGACATCTGGCAACATCTAGGGACAATTTCGATTGTCATGACTGGGGAGGAGATGCCACTGGCATCTAGTGGGTAGAGGTCAGGACTGCTGCTAAACATCCTTCTATTGTACCATCAATCACACTGAAATACAGACAGTTTACATATGTCTCCCTCATTGGACGTGAGCTCTTTGGCCTCATACATTTCTGTATCCCCAGCATCTTATAACCCCCTGACAAGGAGTATGGGCTTGAGAAATGTTTGTGGACCATATCAACAAAGAATCAGAAGCATGTAAAGGTTGGTTTAGAACCAAAAGTGGACTACAGTATATTAGAAAGTGATATTATATGAATGCAAAATACACACATCACCATATTCCCTAATAGAAACATTATAACGGGAAAAGATTTACTGTAAGTTTATAGCATTTTCATATTTATGTCTTTACTATATACCTTTTCTAATTTTACATTCGTTTAAAATATTTTATGTACCCTTTCAATTATTTCATTCTTTTTTCGTCCTGCAGTATTTGCCTAGCCTTTAAGAGATCATGGTTGACTTTACTATCTGTGTTAAGGCAGAAGGGGCCTCAGAAACCACCCAGTGGTTCTAAATTTGTAATCCATCTAGTTTTAAGGAATCTGTGAATACTCTGAAATTGACATTGTGTTTATACACTTTCCTTGGGTGCAAATCCAGACTTGCACTCACACACATAGACACACACACACAAAATCAAGAAATGTCCCCAAAATGTTGAGCCACCGATTTGTGCCAGTTAATTAAGGGCCAGAGAGGGGAAGAAATCACCAAAAAGTGAGCAGCAGAGCTGGGCTAGACCCCTAGGCTTGTGACCCTCCCACACAGCTCTCCCTTCCACCACCCCCGCACCCCACCCCACTCAGCCCCCACCCACTGCGACCACCAGCACCACTGTAGGGACTCTGTAGCCACTGCCAACCTTAACATTTTAACATACTTCAGAGATGAGAAAACAAAGCCCCCAGAAAAATGAGATGGTAACTGCACTGGAAAGGGGGAAAGAACCTATCATGTGACCCTTACATGAGAACTCACCAGCAGACACCCCTCACCACCCCAAGGACCCTGGCAGTGAAACACAGCCCAGTCACTCCTCCTCACAAGGCAGGGCATAAAGAGGTGCTGGTAATCTTCACATTCACACCACAATCTCCAAGACACAGGGTGATGCCTCCAAGGATTTTACCGTCCACCCACTACCTGCCCACCCCCAGCTCAAAACCCCAGGAAGAGTAAAAGAGAAATGCATGTTCTTCCCTCAATCCCCAGGTTGGAGGTTTAGAGGTGAGAGGGTTCATAGCATTGTAGTGTGGAACACTCACCAAAAGGCATAAAAGGACAGAGGGCCGCGGGTAGCCTGGCCAAGGGCACCGTAAGCCCAGTCTGTCCATGGCGTCGCTGGTAATTTAGCAGCACAGCCTATTGGAACTGTGGCCTGAGGCCGAGTTGCTGGCTGACGGGCGGGCACGAAGGGCCTGAACTGCCCTCTCCCCTTACCACCTGCTGCCTGCCCCACTGCCCAGCCAGGTCCCAGCCAGGCTGGCCGGAAGGAGATAGTGGAGGGGGCGGGGAAAGAGGGAGTAATTTTTCACTGGGCAACTCTCCTTCTGGAAACATACAACCCAAGCACCATATGCAAACCTCCAACCCCTGCAAAAGTAAAAATACTAATTTTCCCTTCCCATTCTAACATACACATACAAAAAAACCCATAAAATCCCCAGAGATGTACAGATTAAAAGACCTAAGTTTCTTAGATATATAAAATCGTCAGCCCAAACACAAATACACATACACAAAACTCTTCCACTTTGCAGGGGTCCCCAACGTCTGGGATCTAATGCCTGATGATCTGAGGTGGAGCTGATGTAATAATAATAGAAATAAAGTGCACGATAAATGGAATGCGCTTTAATCATCCCGAAACCATTACCCCCCCACCCCCGCCCCAGTCCCTGGAAAAACTGTCTTCCACGAAAACGGTCCCTGGTGCCAAAAAAGTTGGGGACCGCTGTAGAGGACCATCCCACCAAATAAACCCAAATAAATGAAGCACACACGTGGCTGCCTTCCCTTCCCTGTCCCCCACACATCACTCTCTCCTCCTAGGACCTCCCTTCTAATCCTCTCTGGCTTAGAGCACACACTCTGGCTCCTCATTGCTCTCCCTGTGAACTCATTTGTCTTTCCAGGCCAGCTGCTCTGTGCAGTCTTTCACAAGGTTAATCCCCACAGTCCTCTCTTTCCCCTAAGGCACTTTGTCCACACTTCCGTCGCAGCATTTAACATCAACTATTAAACAAATCTTTAAAAGCAGCACGCTAAGGACTGACTGTTGCCCTTTGGAGATGCAGAGTCCACTGTTGTCAGGGTTTCCAATTTTTTAATCCAGCTTTTTAATGTGAAATATCTTAATTTTTAAATGACAACACTTCAGGGGAAGAAATTGAATACACAAGGCCATAAGTAAATTTTAAGCCAAGGAAACTATTCTATAGTTTGACTGTGGTAGTGGTTACACAAACAGTAAAAAAATTCAACAAACTATACACTTAAATTGGTGAATTGTGTTGTATGTAAATAGTACCTTAAACGAAGGAGGGGGGGAATGCTGAAAACCAATTCAAAATTGTTTTAAACTGGGCAGACGAAACAAAACACACCTGTTAGCTAAATTGGCCTGCAGGCTGCCAGTTCACAGCCTCTGTGTTTATTTTAATTACCTGTTTACCTGTCTGTCTCATTCCTTGGGACTATAAATTCTTAAAGGCCTGATACACTTCCTGGCAAAGTGTCTAACAAAGTCAGCTGTAGCCCTAGTCCTATCATTTACATCAATAGCTATGTGGACTCAGGCAAATAACTTAACCTCTCTGAGTTTTTTTGGGTTTTTTTGGTAAAGGAAGGGCTAATACCTCCTTCATAGGTTTAAAGTGAGGATTAACAGAGAAGATTAATATAAGAGTGCTTTATAAAATGTAAGACCATGTTAGTGTTTCACGAGCAAGTAGTCTCATGTCAACTACCAAACAAGGTTAACTCAGAAAAATCTCCATTTGTGATTGAAAAACTTAGCGTGTGTGAAAAAAACAGGGTTAGAGAAAATAAGGCTGAGTGATCCTAAAAAAAACCGCTTTATATTCAAAGTCCACTAAAACAAGGCTATGATCTTTTAAATCTATTACATTAATAAGAAAGGCCACTGTTAATGACCATTTTACCTTAGATCCTGAGATGATGTCCCAGAGTTTAGCACAGGATCCCACAGAGATTATGCTCAATAAATGTTTGTTGATTTGGTGATTATAAGGATGGTCATGATGAAGGCGATGCTGGGGCAGCAGGGGAAGGATGGCAAGAGATGAACTGTTATTTGGAAGAAACCGCTTCTGGATTCTCTTCTTACTTCAACTCAGGCACTTCTACTCTCTTCAGATTCAATTCCAAGGTTAGATTCCAAAAGTCCAATTCTGCATTTATGGCCTTGGCAGATTCTTCAGCTCTAGTAAGAGCCTCAGTGCCACTGCCTGAGATTATAAGCTCTTCTTCTGGAGGCTTCTTACCCTCTTTCTCTCCTCCTCCTTACTGGTTTCAGATATGGACTCAGAATCCTCTTCAGAGTCAGATTCTGTACCCATCTCTTTCACCCACACTACTTCCTCTTTATTGTTTGTGTCTTCCTTCTCTTTCTTCATCTCCTTTGCTTTATTTTGAAGGTTCTTTTGGGCCTCTTTACAGATATACAACAATTTACTGAAATTTTTAAAGGCCAAACTTCAATCCAGTAAAGATCAATTGCAGCTTCAATGAGGTCTGACACCTGGTGTAAGACAGAATTGTTTCCTTAAGTTCAACTTTATCTCTGGTTCCAGAGATTTGCCTTCTTCCTCATCTACAGATATAGACTCTCTCTGTTATTGCCAAAGCTTGAAACTTAAGTAGCTTATTAATTTCACTTTCATCAATATCGATGAATTTAAAGCCCATCCATTTTCAGACTCTGATTTTTTTCAACTTCTTCATTAGCTCTAGGGAAACATGCATAATCATTCACAACATCATCCCAAAGGTTCCACCAAGCTTTATTAAGAGAGGCTGGTTTTTATATCATCCATCACCTCTTTTATTACTACCAAAGCATCATTAAAGTTGTACTGTTGCCATGTTTCTTTCAAAGTGAGGCAAGGGTTTTTTTCAAAAAGTCGGCAAAGTAGTCAAACATATGCTTGGTGTATTACCTCCTGAATGCTTCAATTATACCCTGATCCAAGGGCTTAAGATAGCTACTGCCCTCCAGATGGAGAAACAATATCATCATTGGAATGAGCAAAGAATGGAGTCTGGGTGACTGAGACCTCTGTCCAAAAACAGTAACACTCTGAAGGCAAGATTTTTTTCTGTTAAATAACTCCAGGTTCAATGAATAAAACAATTACGAAGCCAATCCAAAATGAGGGCAGCTGTTAATGATACTGTTAGTGATCGCCGGAAACTAGGAAGGCGTTTTATATTTTTTTCCATAAAACAGGTGCTGCTTCATAAAGCAGCCACGGTTTTGTCACCTGCGGCACTGGCACAAAAATTGAAAGAAATCCAGTCCTTAGCTTCCTCTAAGCTTTCCGGAATTTTGTCTTTTTCCCCAAAAGTACGCGAAGGCAAGCACTTCCAAAACAGGCTCATCTGCTTGGCGGTGAAGACCTGCTGAGGTACAAAGCCACTAACTCTGATCAGTTACTAGAGTTGCTTGGAATACGTGGGTGCCGACTGGGTATTTAACGGTTCTTCCTCCCCTATCAACCTCGAATTCAGCAACCTATGGCGATTTCTAAACTTCTCCAACCATCCCTTGCTCGCATGAAACTTCTCTGGGTTGCCCTTGCCAGTGGTTTCCACCAGTTGCATGTAAACCCGTTTGGCCTGGCTGCAGATGGCCTTCAGCGTCAGAGGCTGCCCCCTCCTCCTTTGGTCTAATCCTAGACCCCAAAGATTAATTCGTCTCCATCTTCTTGATGTTTACGTCCTGAGGAATGCACAGCACCTAGGAGCAGACGGGCGAAACACTCTCCATGCTGGTCCTGACCGCCTCCTCGTTTTGCTTAAGGGTGCGCAAACCCTTCTTCCAGCTTCTCGAGAATTTTCATCTCGTCTTCCAGACACATGACCCTCCGCCTCCTCTTAATACGTGTCTGGCCCGGGAGCAGGATGCCCACCGCCTCCGCCCCGCCCCGGGCGGCCTAAGCCCCTGCCCAAGCCGCAGCGGCGTCCACCATAGCCGCTGCTGAGCCTGGTTTTAGAGCCAGGGTGCCGCCCCCAAGGCCGTTCAACCTTTGGCTGGTCCTCATTCTCACCACACCGCTTGCCAGGCATTTACCCAGCCTTCGCTCTCAGTGAGACAGAAGCAAACCAACCGGAGAGTCGGACGGCAGGACCAACTGAGCAGCGTCCAACATAACACCGCGATGCGTCCCCCTAATCACCAGCGACTCTAGTCAGCCCCGCTCTCGCGAGGCTTGGCAGCCCCCGAGCGCGCGCTGCCCGGCAGCTCCGCAACTCTATTGGTGCAGCCCGGGCCGTTTTGGCCCAGCCAAAACTCGGGGAAGGGAGTCTGCGCCGGGCAGATCTCGCGAGGCTTGGAAAAGCGCGCCGGGAGCCGGGAGCTGGGAGGGTTGACTGGCGAGCCCGGGCGGGAGGGGGCATCATGGCGGCTCAGGCGCTGTCGCTTTTGAGGGAGGTGTCTCGGCTGGAAGCGCCGCTGGAGGAGCTGCGCGCTCTGCAGTCGGTGCTGCAGTCGGTGCCTCTCAGCGAACTCCGCGAGCAAGCGGCGGAATTGCGCCTTGGCCCGCTTTTCTCCCTGCTCAACGAGAACCATCGGTGAGATGACCCGGCAGCTTGAGCGGGGGAGAGCGACACCCCCAAGTATGGAGACGGGGATGGGGGTGGTGGTGACGGGGGAGGCTTTTCCCAGTCACAGTGAAGGTTGAATATCAATGAAATTTCAGAGAGGGAAGGATCCCGGGCTGAGAGGCGAGAGACGGGATTCAAGCCCAGGCTCTGAGGTGGCCGTCGCCTAGCCTCACTGCCTTCATCCTTGGAATAGGAGGAGGAAAGCAACGTTGCCCACCTACGGGGAGGACTCCACAGCCACATATCCAAGTCCTTGACTTTTTCCCACCTCTTAAGAAGGGGTCCTATCCTGGCAATTTCGAAGGATCCATCGATATTTTAAATTCACATACCTTTGATCCAGTAATTCCCTGTTACAGAAATTTAACATGCAGGTATACTCACACACAAAATGTACTGCATATACAGGAATATTCATAACAGAAGGAGGCAGCAAACAAACAAACAAAACAAAACAAAAAAACTAGGAACCACCTGAATATCTATTAAAAGGGGATTCTTAAATTATGACACATGACTGTAGTACTATGCAGCTATTAGGAAAATTGAGGTAGATCTATATATGTGGACATAGAAAGATCTTTAATATATGTTGCTGAATGAAAGAAGAAAATTGTAGGAGTTTATAATCCCGTTATGCGTAATTTTTAAAAAGGATTACCACCCTCCCACACCCACTTGAACACAGGCCAGTGTAGCTTTTGGAATAGCTGAAAGATACATCAGTAACTATTAATATGGTAGTGGGACTTAGAATGGTAGGATGGCAACTTTTACTTTTCATTTTATGTACATCTGTGGTATTTGATTTAAAAACACTTTGTATTTGATCATCTGATAACTTAAAAGACTTTAAATGTTTGTGATCCAGAAATTTAAAAGTGGCCTTTCTTCCTGAAAAGATAATGAATCACTGAATCAACACTGGATGATTTCAGAGGGCTTTCTTGGCTCTGACCTTCTAAGAATCCTCCCTTTTTCATATGTGTTCTCCCTTCATTAATTCTGTTAATTAACATTATTCAGGTCTGCCTATGAAATCTCTATTTGTCCATTTTAATTCAGGCCTTCATTTTCTCCCTCTCGCTAGGTCTGTTGCATTAGTCTGACTTCTCATTACCTCCGAGTTTCCTTTTCTAGTGTGTCCTTCCCACGTTGCAACCACAGGGAACTTCTCAGGATATTTGGCTCACATCTTTGCCATGGTTTCGCATTGCCTCCAGTGTAAAATCATGACTTGTTAGTCTGGCACTTGGACCTTTACAATATATTTCCATCCTACTTTTCCAGCCTCATCTTTTTCCACTCTACACATATTTCATCTGCTCCAGCTACCAAGTGGCACTACTTTCCCTTGAGCATGACTTGGCACTTTCCTAACTTTGTTCATGCCAGTCCTTCTAACTGAAATGCCTTCCCCTCCAAATCTGTCCATCTTTTAAGGCCCAGGTGAAGCGCCACCCCCTCCAAAAAGTCTTTCTTGGTCACTCCAGTTGCAAGTGACTGGCCTTAGATCTCCTAAAGGACATTATCATTACTTCTCTTAATAATACTTGACACTATTGCCTTATGTTGTAATTCCATATGTGTTTCTGTCTAGTTGGTAAATTCTTTGAAGAATTCATCTCTGCATCCCTCTTGGGATGAAGCACATAATACAATATATGCCAAATAAAAGATTAAACTCATAAATTTTAGAGAGCCCACCTAGTCCAACCACTTCATATTATAGATGAAGAGACTTTCAGTGATTTATAAGTTAACACCAGAGGTGCACTAGGAACTGAAATGAAGGGGAGTTTGAAGAATAAGGTCTGTGGGGTCATGGTTTGCTGAATGAAGGAGCAGCTCTCTAGGAAACAATTTTAATGGAAATTTAAAGACAAGGTAATTCAGAACTTAGTACACTGTAGATACCAATTGCAATTTGTGGGAATAATTCTCTGGATAGTGGATTGGCAGTCTCTAGATATATTGATGTTTTCCTGCACTGTATATTGGTTCGAGATCTTTTCTGATAAATGTAAACCTAGAATCTTTTTTTTTTTAGTAAATTTATTTATTTATTTCTGGCTGCATTGGGTCTTCGTTACTGTGCACAGGCTTTCTCTCTAATTGCGGTGAGCGGGGACTACTCTTAGTTGCGGTGTGCGGGCTTCTAATTGCAGTGGCTTCTCTTGTTGCAGAGCACGGGCTCTAGGTGCGCGGGCTTCAGTAGTTGCGGCGTGTGGGCTCAGTAGTTGTGGCTCGTGTGCTTCAGTAGTTGTGGCTCGTGGGCTCTAGAACGCAGGCTCAGTAGTTGTGGTGCACGGGCTTAGTTACTCCGCGGCACATCGGATCTTCCCAGACCAGAGCTCGAACCCGTGTCCCCTGCATTGGCAGGCAGATTCTTAACTACTGCACCACCAGGGAAGCCCGGTACTAGGTAAATTTGAATAAACTAGTAGAAGTTGGTGTTTCAAAGGGAAGTCTGTGTGGAGAAGAGCCTCATTAAGCTAGGTGTCAGATATTAGGTTGTTGCTTCCTACCTGGTAGGACATGAATTGATGAGATCTGTGGTGTCTCTTTTAGGGAACAGACTACTTTGTGTGTATCCATCCTGGAGAGATTGCTGCAAGCTTTGGAGCCAGTTCACGTGGCCCGGAACCTCAGGGTTGACCTGCAGAGGGGACTGACTCACCCCAATGATTCTGTAAAAATCCTCACTCTGTCCCAGGTATGAAATTTTATTAGCACATAATAAGGGAATCAACATTTAGTGACCACCTGCCCTGGGCCAGGGTGTATGCTGGGAGCCAGAGACAGAGAGGTGAAGAAAACACGTGCTCTCTGTGTAGGGAGTATCTAGTCTATTCTAGTATGCGTAGCTAACTATAACTGGCAGCTACAAGCTAAAGTAAGAAGTTCCACTGAGTGCCATCTGAGTCAGTTAGTCATCAAATACTGAGCTCCTTTTATCAGGCATTGTACCATATGCTGTTAGAGCTACCAAGATAAATAAAGCCTGTTTCTTTCCTCCAAGGAGCCCCTAGTCTAGAGAGAAAGATTGCCATGGTAAGTCTTATTATAGTGGCATGAGTGAAGTACTATTATAAAGGTCACTATACCAACAAATTAAGACAGTAACTCTTACCACCCTGGTAACCAGACATGCTAGTGTTTGGGTGAAGAGCTGCTGCCGAGGATTATCTTGAAGGGATAGAAGCTGAGCAGTTAGTTATCCACTAGATGTTCAACTACTGTTTTTTCTTTTTTTCTCTGAAGTATTTATTCAAGAAAAGGAGAAAGGATCGATTTATCCATTGACCATTTATGTGCAAAACTCTGTAGGAGGTGCTTTACCTATTTAGTTTCATTTAATCTTTATTACTGTCCTGCAGTTAAGTATTGTATTCCCATTTTACAGACAAGAAATTAGGCTCAAAAAAAGTTACTTAATTTGCTCAAGATCAAGAACTGAAAGTTCGTAGAACTAAGATTTGTATTGTTTTCACTCACTGAGGTGTCTCAAGTCTTAACTCACCTGTTTTGTTTGGTTTTTTCTTTCTTTTCAAAGATGTGACTATACCATCTGTGTGTTTGGCTGTAATGAATTTGGGTCATTTGGAATTTTTTAATGACTCATAGCTGTAGTTAGTAACTCCTAAAATAACTGCACACTAAGGAAATTTGACCATCATGTGTTTCCATGTTGCCCTACCTTGGAAGAGTATTTCTGATTGTTTTTTTCCTTTCAGGTTGGAAGAATTGTTGAAAATTCTGATGCTGTTACTGAGATTCTAAATAATGCTGAATTATTAAAACAAATCGTTTATTGTATTGGTGGAGAGAACCTATCTGTAGCTAAAGCGGTGAGTCAGCTACAACCGTTAGCCTAAACATGCAGAGACATTAATGTCCTAAAAGACAGAGAAAGGCCTTCTGGATTGAGAGGTGGAGGTTTAGAATGAATGATTTGCGTAATAGAATTTGCAGCCTCATATCGATGGTATGAAATAAATAAATGGCATCAAAATAAAACTAGTAAACCCCTTTTATTTTCTAGAATGCACATTTCTAAATTAACCATCATAGAGCTTACATTGGGTTGCTTGATAAGAAGCTTTTTCTATTTTCTGTTGGGAATACTATGTATTTTTTCCAATTATAAGTAATTATAGCTAAAATCTAGTGAATGCTCCTTGGGTAAGCTGCGTTCCATACACTAATTTTCACATAAATCTTATGAAGTAGAAAGTACAGTTTGGTATTTTTATGACTTAAGAGATACTTTCTTTCCTTATAAGGCCATTAAATCCCTGTCAAGAATATCACTGACCCAGGCTGGACTGGAGGCTTTATTTGAAAGTAATCTGCTGGATGATTTGAAAAGTGTAATGGAAACAAATGACATTGTTCGATACAGGGTGTATGAGGTAAGACTAAAAGCATCGTTTCTGGTGCCTATAATTCAGAATGCATCAAGGCTTACATCAGAAGGCGAGATGGCTCATTTAACATGTATTTATTGAGTTTATAGTCTATGTTAGGCCCTATATATACCAGGTGCTCGGGATGTAGGGATGAACTCCCAGCCTAGTGTGTGAGACAGTCATATAAAAAATA